AAGTACTACTACAAGTACTACTACAAGTACTATTACAAGTACTACTACAAGTACTACAGCCACTACGACAAGTGCTACAAGTACTAGAAGCGGTACTACAAGGACTACTACAAGTACTACAGCTACTACTATAAGCACTACAAGTACTAGAAGCAATACTACAAGTAAAAATGTTTTTTATTGCGGTACTTTGCCCGGGAAAAAACAAGTTGAGGGTAGGGGGACCCCGTTTACTAATATGAAGTCGACATTAAATTGTAGCAAATGGGTTCCAATCCATGGTATTCCAGGTTGGGACTGGCAGCCCACCGAAAGAAGGGGGCATGAACTGGGGCTCGGCGCAAATTTCATTTGCTGCACTTCCCCGGGACAGACTTATCAGGGTTCCGAAGAGACGTGTGAAGTGACCTTTAAGCAATTTTGGGCTACCATTTGGTTGTGGGTTAAAACTAGGGCAACCCCAAAATGGATCAGGCACTGGAAAATGGACACATCGACTAAAACTTGCTTTCCAATTCCCGACTCATCTTGACCAAACTCTCCCGACTCACATGGAAGCTCCGAGCCCTCAAGTGAGGAGCGGCTTAGTAGGGAAACCCTCCCAACCAAAAACGAAAGGGTAAAAGTTGGCGCCTAGCTGGGGGACCTAGGAGCGAACCCATTTCACCGAAATTTGCAGTGGCCTGCGGGTCCTGCTCCACCATCATGCCGCTGGCAAACTGGCGGAACCGCGGAACCGAACCCCCCGAATTCACATGCTACCTCAACCTGGAGCCATATATGTTTATTTTTCTGGAGAAGCTCGAACCAATATCCACCCCTGGGTCTGGCAAAGCTCTGACAAATATCCATGCTCCTTTTGGTTTGCTTGAGGTGTGAAGAAAATCAAAGGGCATTTTAGCACGCCCCCCAACAAGTAGGGTGCGACTTTTCTTTTGGTTCTTCAAACCAAAACCCCAATTCCGAAAACGGCACTCTCGCAAAACCATCCAACTGGCGACGTGTTTTGCTGGTAGCCACTTGCGTCTATCGGATCCAATATCCCCCATCCGCTAACCCCCGCCCTTCCTCCCCACTCCAGGTGAGGCCTGAATAAGGCAGTATAGGAGTCGTATTTGGGGGAACTAGGTCCTCCAGTAGAGAGGTTAGAATAAGAGTACCCTTTTTTTCTCTAGTCTATTTCAGTAGGGGGGAAGGTAAACGGTGGAACCACTTCCGTTTGCCTCAGGTCAGAAACTTAGCCTGAGGAAAGGATGAAGGGTCTGTGAACAGCTGCTTGAGGCGACACACACACACAAACATCAGATTTCATGAGCATCCCTGATTCTTCCCGTGTAAATGATTCTTGCTTACCGCCATATGTACTTACCCGAATGGTGCGCGTGATTAAGCAATGGAGCAGGTGGCCCACCCAGGAGGATTATGCAGTAGACAGTACAAAGGCCAAGTGGTTTATATCATATCATCATATCTTAACAATTGATTCTATATCATGTGAGATTAGGGATCCAACCATAATATGCTTGACTTCTGCGCAGCCCCGAAGCTTCACAGAAGCAAGGCAAGCACAGGGCGGGTCACAGAAGCAAGACAACACCCCCAATCCAAAATCCATGGCAGAAACAAAACCCCTCTTGGCCTGGCTTGAGTAGACTTTAAAGGGACACCCCCCTCCAAAGGGAGAAGGAAGCATCCTAAAAACGAGCGCGCGTCAAGCTGCGAGACATGAGCTGACAAGCTGAGATCCGCAGGTGAAGAAGTTCGGGACTCGAGTCTGCAAGCCTTTCACATCTGAACACATATTGTGCCCTGGGCAAGCAACTATGCGGGGCAGAGGCACAGCCCTCATTTACTTGCAAAACACTAGCACACAACCTTTGTCAGCCTGAGGCCACAGTTCAATTAATGAGAACAAGTTATTTTGATGGGAATCATAACATGCACGGAATGCTTTTAGCGCTAAAATTGAATTTGTTTATGTACGTGATTCTTATTCAATCAGACACCGGCTTCAACGGGTGCGGCCGGTCAATTGGAAAAAGTCCGTGCGCATTTGACATTTGCAACTGGGTCACGCAGAAATCGTCACTTGACTCCAGGGGCTTAAGACTTGGTTTTTGGAGAATGACCCTCCCCTCCACACAGGTGGAACCTCCCAGGACTGGTTTGAACCAGTTTTCCTTTACTTGGTTGACGTTGGGTTTGGGGAGCAAAAATTCTCAAACTTTAGCAGTTAAGTGCTTGGATGTCAACCACATTCAACCACAATAAGCAAAAATACGGGAAACATGTAAAAAAGTCCCAACAACAACCAGGGGACATGCGCCTGGCGGGTTTCATGGCAACCGGACTTCCGGCGGTCAAACTGTGGCCGGCTCCAATTTGAATTCGCCGACCGGAGGACCCAGAAACTGGCGGGAGTTGATGTTTTTTGCGTTTCAGTTGAAACCAACCTCCAAAAGGCTCCCCTCAACACCCCCCCCCCCCCCGGTTTCGCTGAAATGGGTATGGGTCAAAATAAGCCCACCAGGGGACCGCAGGTTCTAGTCTTTGGTTCCATTTATCAGGGCAACCCATTTTGGGGTTACCCTACTTTTGACAACCACAGCCACATCCTTCTACCTCCATTTGCTTTTTGGTCCCCTGGGAAAAATGAGAAAATATGTCCAGTAGTGATAGATAACCCTTTAAAACCACAGCCAAATGGAACCCAAAAGCATTTTTGACCAGCCAAATGGAGGACATCCCGCCCCGAACAGTTCGCGTCGAAACGTGCGCCGTGCCATGAGGGCGCCGCAAGTGCCGCCGCCCAGCAAGGAGGGCCTGAGCGCGCGCCCGGCCCCGCGGCCGCGCGGCCGGGGTGGGGCAACTGGACCCTAGCCTTACTCGGCTGCGAAATCTGCTCCCCTGCTATAAGTGAATAACTTTTAGTGGGTTAATGGAAAACCCATTTGTTGGCAAAAAGTTGAAGTCCTGACATCCAAGCAAAATGCACCAAAGTTACGTTGGATGTTCAGCCAACGTCATGCAAGTAGGTCATAACCATGGTTATAAGGGGACCTACTCCAGTTCTTGTAGTTAGAACCACGGGTGATGACCTACTCGGTACCCTGCCCCTTTAAGTACGTGGATGTTCAACCGACTTAGTAACTAGGCGATAACGGTGATTATGATTAGGGTGACTGGGGCAGGTACCCTTATAACTGTGGTTGTAAGCTACTCACTAAGTTGGTTAAACATCCAAGTACTGGAACATCACACCATATGTTTTTAAGCGGCAATATCCCTTTTTTGGGGGGGTAGCTTAAGGGCATTTATATCTTTGAGGATACCCCTTTTGCGATTTCAACTTAAGAAACCACGAGGAACACCCAAATCCAACTCCAAGTTTTTAAGGCACGCTCATTTACTTCCTGAGGGCCTGAGGACTTGGCAGCATTGCTGGGTGCCTAAAAACATCCTACTGTTGATCGGTGGCGTTTTGTTGCTTGCCAAAAAGGCAACATGTAGATTTCAAAGATCCAACCAAACAGCATTCAACATAAGATACCGTCTTCTCAACAAAACATGGAAGTGGATAAGAGGGTTTTGGAAGACTACCGTCCTCTCATGATTGTCGGAAAAAGGGTAGCCACGGAGACCCTGTCTGTTTGACCCCCAATATGTTTGTTGGGCCCATGAACCAACAGGTAACATGGAGGGAACAAACAAAAATAGGTTTGGGTGCCATCCTGGTCCTGCCCAGCTGAGGCTTGGACACACTCTTGGCCTTCATGTAGCCATAGGCGCCTGACGGCTTCAGTACGGGTTTCTGTTTTTGAGGGTACCGTTCTCCCATGGGTATAACACCACTAGACACAATCCCATATCCCCGCCAACAAGTAAGTGATCACTTCTTCCTATTAATCAACCTACCCCTAACAATAAAACTCCCCCGAGCCGCGGCAAAAAATCGGCAATACTAAATTTAAATTGGCCAATACTAAACCAATACTAAACTCCTGAGACTACACATGCTTTCCACCAAGCTCCCAAAATATGCTTATTACCAATCAAAAACACATCCCCAAGAATTGTTCTATTATTAGGGTCTGTTCGCCAAACAAGCCAACACAAGCAAATAATTTTAAGAAACTGACCATGGCACACTCCCTTGCGAAGTTCTTCATTCAAAGTTGCAATCTGAGCAGTTGTTGCTCTAAATCAATGGAGATCCACTTTCCAATACAAGTCCAATACTAAACACCAAACTATCAACTGGATCTAGGCCCAAACCGGCGACCCCTATTAAAAAACTAAAAAAAAACTGGACTTTTCTTTTTTTTGGGGGGCTTTTTTGTTAGGGAGAAGCGATTACGGCGGAAACCACTTCATATCTCCGTCGCAACCCACGGGGATAAAATATGTGGGGAGGTGCCTTAGGGTACATCCCCTCCATCAATTACTTGAGGGTCAGGGATGGTTCGATGTTTCGTGGCTTGGAATGCTGCCACAGGTGGATCTTCCGAGCTGTGGCTGAAACCAGGCACAGGGGGCCCCAGGATTTGGCCAGGAGATGGGTAAATGGTCAATCCCCCCCTGAATCCCAAGATGTATTTCGTCCAGCAACGCAGTCCCGTGCTTCCAGGCAATCCACCATGACCTGTGAGAAGATCTGAACTAAGCAGAGTATCCTTCGCCAACCTGAAAGGGACAAAAAGGCGGACCCAAAGGAACCACAATGATATTTGAACATGCTAGCTGGAGTCGATGCACATGGCAGCCATGGCAAGGTGGGGACAGTTGTGGAAAACCAACCTTTCTATACCACTCTGGGCCATCCCACTCATGCCTGCTTCAACTGCCAAATCCTTGTTCCCCTGAAGGGAAACTAAAAGGTGGTTGTATGTAGTTGCGTCAACATCTGTAAACCTGTGGTCGCGCGTCTTTTTTTTCCTGGGCTTGGCTTAGGTCTCGGATTTGCCCCTCCCGTCAGAGCGGTCGAGACCGCGCGGACTGGCTCAGGCTCGCATGGCGTGCAGGTCGAACCTCGAGACTTTTCGACCACTGCCTCCCATTTGCCCCCTGGAAAAAACAACCTTTTTTGTTAATGCCCAGTAGTGGCTTAAGTCCCCTGGAAAAAAAAGACAATGTCCAGTGGTGGCTTAAGTCCCCTGGAAAAAAAATCACAGTATGTCCAGTAGTGATAAATCCCCTTCAAAGCCAATAGGGGACAATAACAAACATGTTTTAGCAAACGGACGACTGCTGTACTAGGAAACCTTCCACTCGTGATTTTGAGCTGCAATCATAGGTGACTCATGGCCAGCCCATATGGCTATGAATTCTGAGAGGGAGTCACCTAAGTGGCTGGTGGACATGAATCCCCACCATGGATTCGTCCACCTTGAGCACAAAAACACAATTCCTTGGGACACCAGTCCAGAACAAGCGTCCGATCCGAAACGGCTTTCTTCGGCTTCCAAGGGACGTTGTGCCAACAAAACGATTTTGTTTTATATTTTTTCCCCCATCCAACCCTCCATTAGCTTAAGTCTCTGGAAGAAAAAACAAAAACATATTTCAGCTTATAGTGATAGATTCAACAGGGGAAATCAACAAATGTTCATTTCAGCAAATGGAAGAAGGGTCCGAAGATCAACAGACTGATGGGACACAAGACCCCTTTTTGGTACAGCTGATCAACTCTGAAACCAATAGGATCCCATTTTGGGATTTTCGGTGAATTCACCACCCATTTTAGGACCTATTTTAGTGGTTGCATTGGGATGTTCACTGCGGGTACGGGATTTCGACCCATGGCCATGTCATTCTCTCAGCGAGTTTCGGACAGCATTGCTGTAACGGGGAAGGGGAGCGGACACATACTTAAAGAAAGAGGGGGGGGTAGGTTTGTTGGGTGGTGCTAGAGGATATTCCTTCATGTTCTCGAGGTCGCGGCCAGTCCAGGCCCTGCTCGAACTCCTCCACCCAGCGCCGGTCCGCGGCCAGCTGCGCCAGCGGGCTCCAGCTCACGCCTGCGCGTCGCGCGCGCGGGCGCGTCCACGCGCGTAGGCGTAGGCTGGATTGTTCGGTGGCGGAAGGCTGGGTTTTGCAGAGCTTCCTTAAAGGATTTCACTACCACTTCCGGGAAGGGGGGGCCAGAAGGTACTATGAGGGGCTAAATGAATGGTGTTGCTGGGTACTATTCAAATGCAATAGCTCTGGAGCCTGGGAGAACGATGCTTGTAACTTCACCCCTGAGATTTTGCATCAACGAGACACCCATGCCATGCGTCGTGAGGGAAATGACGGCCTTGCCATTTGTTGCCTTTCCGCGTTGCGAAGGCCGACGAGTTTCGACCGTCGCAGATGGGGCGGGGGGGGGGGGGGGAGGCAGCAGGAACCTCATGTTTAGAGACCCATGAGACAAAACCTAATCGCCGTGGCGTGTCTTCTTGTTGAAGTTCGATGCCCCCCCTTTTTGTTAAGAAGCAACCAGGCCCATGTTGGGGTCCCCTACTGGGATATTCATCAGAGTCACCTCAGCTTGCCTGACGTCGGTTGAAATCCAAGTGGTGGTTGAAAGCGGAACCGCCCGAACCGGGGCTCCATCCACGGGGCTCACAGGTATGAACTTTCTTGAGAGTACCTCATGAATGATTTATGTCTCCTCTCAAAAAGGGGAAACAACAACGCAATCCATCCGTTTGGGGGGTCCACTAAGCGTCCAAATCCTAAAAATGAACATCAGACCCGCCACGCCCCATACCCTCAAAACCCGCTTGTCTCGCAGACCGCGACCCGCGACTCGTCCGAAAGAGACACGCGAGAGCAGGGCTGTGGGAAATGGAATCCACTTCTGTGATACAACAAAAAGGGCCTAACCCCAAAGACCAACCCCCCACATAAAGAGGAAAAACGCAAAAGTATCACAGAAGTGGTTGGATACACCCCTTGTGATCAACCACCACCCGAGGCGCGAGAGGAACCACGCGAACCGAAAGCCTCGACGGTAGTCGGAGGCGGCCAGGCCGAAGGGCCCCGAGCCGCAGCCAGGCACCTGAATTCCACCCGAGATCCACATGGATCGGTTTGGTCCCGCTCCCATTTTTTTGGGGGAGCCCAGCTTTTTTTGGTGTCCAGCTTCTGGTAGGGATTGGCTTATTTCTTGATTTGTTTGGTGAAGAATACTTTAATGGGGGCCCGGGAAGTGTTTTTTTGTTTTTGTTTTTGGTGTACACTGTACCGGGATGTAGTGTACAAGGATGTGCAGGTGCTGAGAGCGGGGCCTAAAACTCGATCCAAAATGCACGCATCTTTTTGTCCAAACAGATTGTCTTAGTGTTGTGCTTTATGTTGTTTGTCAGCTTTTGGATGCTGAAAGGGGGTTAAGACTCAAAATGCGAACTTGGTTGGTCAGTTTGTCCTTTTTGTTGAGGGAAACAAACTGAAACTTGTTGTAAATACTCCCTTTCTTAGTGATGGGATGCCTCAAGAAAGCGGGTATTTGGAGTGGGGGGTAGGAATCTGGACAAATACATGGCGGTCGGCCCCACAACGAAACCTGACATCTACACATATGCAAGCATCGTTCGAGGTCCCCTGAAATGGCGCTTCGGTTTCCTGTTGCTCGCCAACTCCTGCCAACCGAAAGGGGCTGTTCCAAATCCCACGTACTAGCAGGTACCAATTTGGAGGGTTTCCATGGTAATGAGTGTGGTACCAATTTGGAGGGCTTCCATCCTGTTACTACATGGAGTATTTGAGGAGCTCTCTACAGGGTGATCGGGTGAGTGTTACTCACTAATTTTACTCCATGTACTGAGCATATCCTGCCTGGTTTAGCGGGGGGTGTATGAACACATTTAAGCCACCAAACTGTTTGAACAATGGGTGATTTGTGGGTGACACCCCACCATCAGCAGAATAGGTTTACCCAAGGTCCTAGGTTCCATTAAAAGAATGGTAGTCCTCATCCTTAGGTAAAGAATGTTGGTGATATGAACCCAACCGTTGGCTCAATCTTCCATTTGCCTAAGCCCAGTGTGAAAAAACATGAACACATAATTTCAGATTCCCATGTTTTTAAGAAAAAGGAAAAGATAACAACATATTAATTTCAGCAAATGGAGCTCATGGTGGCCGGCAACTGCATCGTATTGTCCACTCAAATCTGGGCTGCCCGTTTTCCGATCCCCCACTAAAAGTCTAAAAGTGACAAACTTTTAGTGGGTTAAATGGAAACTACCAAACACGAAAAAGCAAGGCTTCAGAACCGGATGGCTGGCTTCGCCACCAAGAAATCGGGCTCCGAGACTTCGCGGAGAGTCTCCCCGCCTCTCGACTGTAGCGGCCCTGCTCACAAGGCGCGGGAGAGTAGACATACCTCGCGGGTTTCGACCGTTGGGTCGAAAGTTTCCAACCTTCCAGACTTGCGATCGCTGCGAATTTCTGTACTTGGATGTTCGGCGGTGACAACCCACAAATGACTGGGTTAACCCCATTATAAGTGGGTTATAACCCAGGTGGCTAACCACTGACTAACTTGGCTGAACATCCAAGTAGGGAACGTGAAAATGGAATGAACCGGTTTTGGGGATTCCCCAACAAAGGAAGCCGCCACTTGGATGGCTTTTCTGGGGGTCATTCCATGTCTCATTCCCTGAGCACCAGCAAAACCAATCTCCTTTTATGCGGTCCATGCTTGTTGCCTTCGGATTGTCGTTTCAGTGGTTCTCTAAACTCCCTACTAAATGGTTCATGAGCTTCCAATACTAAACAGTTCTCAACACTGACGCGGGCCTCCGGGACCGCCCTGGAAATTAGTACGGCACGTTCGGCAGAACCATTCTCCCGAACAGAGATGATTACTTCCATTCCGGCCCCATGAAACTTTATCTATTTTTCGGTCCCCCGGAACCCTTTTTAATCTGAGCTTGAGCTTCTGAAAAGGGGAAGGGTTCTATACATCCGACGTGAAGACTAATCCCTAAAAGGCTCTTTCTTTCGACTACACCACACATGGTTATAAAGATCCCCACGAAGGGAGGTGCTCGTAAAACCGTGCCCGTTTCGGGGGCAGTTCGGGTGACTCATCGATTTGAGGGCAACAGTCAAAACATGGCTTCTCAAAATAGGAATCGGTCCCCCAAAACAGTTGGTGTCCTGTTGGTTCCCTTGAGAAACCCTCATGGTTTACGCACGCTCCCTTTACTTCCCAAGTCCGGTCCAGCTGATATCTTCCCCATTCCCTACATCTCCCCGCATCTTGCATGGAAACTGGCTCCAAAAGTGATCCTTAAAACACCCAAGGGAAATGTGACTTTAGGCAGTAGGCTGGAACAAGCAAGCAGAAACGCATCCAGCACGTAGCGTTGTCCCGACTTCCCGTCCGGACTGGGCTTAGGACTGTCGACAAGCCTTGTAGAAAAGATAGCCTCGGACCCAGTCAAGTGCCAACCGGGTGAGAAGTAGCGGCCAGGTTCGTTGATCCCTTGCTAAAAGATAAACCGTTTAGCGGGATATGTGGCATAGAACAAACTAAACCCTTAATATCTAAAATTCCGTGGATACAGCTAGAAACCGTGAAGGGGGTCTGAAAACAAGGCTTCAAATCCGAAATATAACATAGGGAGCCAAGCACCACCCACCGTCTTGTTGGTTTCCTTTTGCCTGGACTTTCTGAATTACATCCTTTTTAAATAAAGAAATAAAACCCAAACCCTTTAAAAGCAAAAAAAATCTTAAAAGACCAAGAGGAAACTTGATCGATTGGTTGCCTTCTATAATAGATGCCTTGGATCCACTGAAGTATCTTTCCTGGATATGTGTCGTGGGAAATACGGGACATACCGCCGGAACATCCGATGTGTAAATCTTCCGCCGTTTGCTGAGAAAGCACAAGCTTCCGTCGTTTGATCATGAGTGCAGTATTTGCAGGATTTGCAGAGTTGTCCAAGACTCCATGATTTCGAAGAAGTGCTCGCAAAATTGAAAAGCTTGCAAAGTGAAAAATCAGCTATTTCCGAAAAAGCACTTGTTTTACACACAATGGAGGTCCTAGGTATACGTTTTCTGCAATACGGAAATGGGCCACTCCTTGACTACTTTTATCCATGGACAGGGGCTTGCATTGGTGTTACCGAAAGTAGTTCGAACACCTATAACGAGCAACAATTAGTTGGCATACCCGATCACGCATGACATGAGATTTCAACCAGCAAATGCATTGGGGGTCCATGTGCTAAGTGATTGCTCGATCGAATTTGAACCACTACCCACGGTTTTTGGAATGGCCTATCACCCATCTCAGCTTGCTCGCAGCAGAACAAGACCTGGTCTGCGTACTTGCTCTGACCCAGAACCCCTACCTCCAGACTCCAGACCCTATACCAGAAACGTCAACTTCTTTGAAGAAACCCAGGTTGTCCTTGGCACACACGGATACGGCAGATCTAAAGTTTTAAGGGTTGTCCTGGCCATGTTCTTTTCACACATCCGCAGGGTTTGTCCCATCTTCAAGGCCGGAATGCACTGCGAAGTGAGTGCGTGAGTCCGAAAAGGAAACACCCAAAACGGGTCTCATCGCGTCCCTTTGAACAACCCAAAGAAGGGCAAGCATAACTTGTACAAGTTTGAAAGCTCAGACGTTTAGGATTGGGTTTGTCCTTTTAGTGCACAACATGCCATGAAGCCAGTGCTAGGGCTGATCTTCTGACCACCCGTTCATGAAAATTCAGCTGGACCCCCCCTTGTAGACAGCTTTTGTTTAACGGGTGTCTGCCTTGTTTTCCCAACAAGTCGGTCAGAGGGTAAGTTCAGAAGCCATCATCGGCCAACGTTCACTGCTGCGCCTTCGGCACAAGGGTCACAGCAATGTGACGGTTCCGTCAATGTTCAACACACAAACCATTACTCGGTTGCTTTCTGCTCCCCTGCTAAAAGTGTAACAGTGGTTTAGTGGAAAACCCACTAGTTGGCAAAAAGTTAAAGTCCTAACAGCCAAGCAAAATGCACCAAAGATTAAACGTGCTCTACCATCACCATGTTACTACTCTGATAACTTCAAATTTAAAGATGGCCTACGCAGTGGAGGCCCTAAGCTAAATACCCAGCTGACCCAGATCTGCGACTACCAGAGCCATTTGGTCGATGACACAACCTGACAATGGCTCCAAGCAAGTTGGCTCTGAACATGTTTGCTTAAATTGCGGTTCCTTTGCTTGGGAGGTATCATCAGGAAAAGCTACCCTTTTATAGCTGAGGTTCACGAGACCTCCATTTGCAGCTTTTTTGGGTATCTCCTTTCTATCGGAGCATTTTCCAAGAAGCCACCAGAAAACAAAAAAAAGCGGCCGGAAACTTCGCTTCGCGTCGCTTCGTCTCGCGCAAAAGACGAAGCGCTCTGAGCCGCGTACCGAGCTCTTGCAGGATCTCCAGAAAGCGCTCGAAGAGAGAGGCGGCCTGGAGATTCGAATCTGCACATGGCCTGGACCCAGCTGCCTTATACGAAAGGAACATTGCCCAAATTCTGGGGTTAATCACCCCTGAAAAAAGAAAAACCAAAACGCGAAAGTGTGGGTGAACGACCCCACCAAAACCTGCTATTGTGGGTGATGTCCCTCCTTTTAAGGGTAGTTTTGAGGGTCATGATGTTCTCTTCAGAAACCACTCATTTTCCCATGGGCCCATTTTTCCCAGAGGGTCCAATTGGTAACCCAGTTCCTTGCTGGTGCACCGCAGGGAATGTGGGAATGAACCTGGGGATTCCCTTAACGGAAACCACAGGGGATGATCTCTAAGGGTCATTCCCTCATTCCCCGCTGAGCACCAGCAAGGTTTCAGGGACATGTTTTTTCATTTCGGGGTTAACCTATTCTTGACAACCACACCCACCTGTTCACCGATCCATCTTGTGGACCCAGTAGACTACTCGCCCAGTTCATCCTGGTTCACGTCTGCGGGGGCATCCCAAAATCGGGACCCCTGCACCTGTTCCACCGCTTGACTGGCTGGAGACCGGTGCCTCAAGCTCCATGGAGATGAACTTGGGCAGCGCCAACTCCCTGCCTCCCATTCGCGGACCCCCGGGCGGGCCGATGAAAACAAAATACGCGCGGAGGGTGAAACTTGCAAAAGTACCCCGCAAAGGACGTAAGCTTAGGGTTCCGTCCACAAATTTCTGTGGGGAGTGTGGCATAATATAAATAAGGGGCAAAAGAATCGGAATGGGGCTTCGGGGAGCCATAAAACTGATTTATGCCATGACCATGGGAAATAATGTTTAGAATTATTCAGCCCATTGTATTACCTCCGTGGAAACAACCCAACATAGGCAATACGGGGACCCCAAAAGGGATTTGGTTTTCCCGTTGTTCCATTGAAACCACCCCACACAACAGCGCCAACTCAAATCAGGGAACCGCACCCATATGTGCGTTCTGTTGGGTCTGCGTTCTGTTGAGGGCACCTCTGGACCTCGCGTCTCGGGCGGCGGCCGTGCCGTTTGGATTCCGCCAAGGACTCCAAGCAGTCGATGGTGCTGGACTCCACATCGATCTTCATGTAGACCTCAGTGAGAGAAATCCAGCAGTTGATCAATATTCCTGGCCTCAGAAGGACCATGGGTAACTTTTCCCATTTAGTGGCGGAAGTCATCTTTCTTGGTTGTTTCCCCAATGGTTACCCCATCTCAAAGAACCTTTTGATAAGCCCCCAGATGAGACCTGAGGGTAACATCATGTAGATTCATGTGAGACAAACCGACAAAGTCAAATTCGGAAGAGGAATCGGTCCATCTCCTAAAATGACTCTTGGGCTTCCTTTTGGTTTCCCGTGAAGACCTCGGAACTCCCATGGCGGTGTTTGCAAACGAAACATCAGAATCGGAAGTCCAGGAACTCAGGAAGTCGGATGTCCAGAATGGCCTTTGAGGTTCAACTGTCGGTTTCTCCTAGCAACCAAAAGGGGGTCCGAATCTCATTTTGAGAAACACTCATATGTTTTCTGGTTGGTTCTGGCCTTCCCGTTTTGGGCTGCCGCCTTCATTTGCGAAAATTCCCCTAGAGAGATACCCATTCTGTGGCTATGAGGGGCTGATTCTTTGGCTATGTTGAGGGGCTGAGTTGCTAACATGCTCCTCCTATGATAGTCACGAAATTTGGTTTCTTGAGCTAGGTCCTCCAGTAGAGAGGTTAGAATAAGGGTACCCTTTTTCTGTTGTCTGTTTTAGTAGGGGAACCCTCCCTCAAAAAAGGCTAAAAGGGCACAACTGGGGGACCCAGTCGGGGTCGCATTTTGCTCATAGCGCTTCTTTCGCCAATTCCCCCTTGGAACATCTTGCGGGTGAACCACTGGAGCCTTGTGTCACCTTCCGGTCTATGTTCCCAGCCTATGCCTTTGTCACGTGTCCCTCGTTGACAGCAGGGCCGGAAGGAAAGAACGACCCCTATAAAGCATCCACCTGGTAGTTTCCAGGGATTGTCCTTCCGGTTCAATCCCCAAATGAACCGCGAGCTCCAAGTACTCACTGATGTAAAGTATCTTCTTAGCAGATACCAAACCACCCTTGATGTTCAACCAACGTCTGGTAAGTAGGTTACCACCATAATGAGGGGACCAACCCCAGTTACCCGGGTCAAGAGGCTGCAAGGTGGGGACCCCAAGATGGCTTCAGCTATTCCTGCTTGTTTCCCTTTGAAACCCCAAAAAGGGGTATCGAGCCTCAACAAAGAAGTAGGGGTAGTATGGTCGAGGTTTATCTTACCAGGTGCCCAGGAGCCACCCTGGATGTTCAACCAAGCAACGTCAGCTAAGTAGGTTATAACCATGATAAAGGTCTCTTGCTCATCACCTGAGCTCATGGTTCTGCGTTTTTTCTTCTTCTTCTTCTTCTTTTTGGTTTTACCCGTGATGGTTCCTCACCTGACCTTCCTTCAACATCCAAGCGGCCAAGCGGGGCACCATGCCTTACCATAAGGGTCCCCACCACCCCCAGCCACCCCCCGGTCACAACCACGGCACCTCGACACCTCCGGGGCGCCCGGCAGCCTCCCCGAAGGTTCGCAGCAGGTCCCCGCACTCCACGGTGCCTCGAGGCCGGAGCCAAGCCGAGGTCTGGGAAAAAAGTCGCCCGGACCCTTGACATATCCCGAGAAAAAAAAGAAAGGGTAAATTCGCCCATCATGTTGAGGCAAGATCCTTCTTCTTTTTTTATAACGGAAAACACAAAATGTAATGGAATGAACCGACCCATCATGTGGCTTGGGGCAATGTCTCCAAATCTTACGGCGAGGTTGAGGGTCCAGGTATACCTGTGCGCTTCAAAAGTAGCTCGTCATGTTGCTCGGGGGACCCCTGAAATGGCGGCTTCCCATGTGGTTGCCCTTGAAGCCAAACCCACAGACGCAACCATGTGAAGTTCCGTCAACATTTGTTGTTCACAGCAAGTACGTTCGAATTTAGAGAGCCCCCGATCGTTTTCCATGGTTTCAAGCACCTTGAGCTATATGGATGGCCAAGTGTAGACTACTTTCCTTTTGCGTAAATTCTGACCGCGCTTCATATGCGGACATGCCGGAACCTTGCCTAAGGCTTCAGGGCAAAAGCTAAGATCGAATTTTGGCAATGACAGAGGCCCGACCACAACGCGGTCAGGGACTTTTTCGTTTGCACAGCAGGAAGGCTTGGAAAGCTTTCCACCCCCTCTAGGTGTCCTTTTGGGGAAAACTAACCGTTTTTGGCCGTTTGGGTTTGTGTCAAGGTTGTGCTTTTCGCCTCGAGAACACAGGACAGTTAGTATGTCTCCTGTTGTTCTGGTGGGCAATTTCGTCAAGTTTGTCCCCCATGCCCTTGCCCAATACTCGCTAGAAAACTCGACACATTTTGACCGCTCCAAATTGAGCCTCCAGTTGCTGAATTCAAGCAAGGTGCCCCCCAAAGCACTGAAGAACATGAAGTCTCAGGCGGTAAGGAGGAGTAAGTTTCTTTCTTGCTACAGCAGGCATGCGGGTAGTAGCCCTGGTCCTAACCCACGGAAAGGAAGCTCATAACCATGGCTGTTGTGGTTTATGTGCTCAGGGGTACCACTTGCCCGGCGTAGCCAATCGCCCAACCACACTCCGTTCACGGATATGTGCGTGTCTCAAAATCTTCTAAATTCGCAACGGTTTCCGCTGGAATTCTCCTGAAAACCAACCAACCGCAGGGGGTCCTCCAAAGACAAGACACGTGATGCGGTGTCCTGCTCAGTTATACCCGCAGAATTATTGTAGGGAATATATGTTTCTTCACTTGATCCATGTGGAGGGTAAGCACGGGCAAATATCGCACACAGGCCTCCAGCGGATGTCCATGGGAAAAACACAAAACGGCAGTGGGCCATAAAGGAAACCTCCCTCCGCCGAAGGAAAAGCGCACATGCCAATCGATACAATGTCGGTACTATAAGGGTCTAAACAATTAGAATGGGGGGTTGGGAGTAGCATAAACCCATTGCGTCCCAATTAAATAGCATTTTACCGGCTTAGGGGATTTCTTAGAAAAAATATTGAATATTGCAATGTTGGATTTCACGGCAACCCGGGGGCAGGAGGGGGTTTCAAAGTGGCAACCTATCCGAGAGGCACCTTAGCCCACGACCTCAATCTAGGTCTTTGGGGGTTCGAGGCCCTACTTGGGGTAAGACTTGGGCTCCCAGGAAGTATACCAGTAACTCTTCAGCTCCTTATATCTCAAACATTTTGCAACCGGCCCGTGTTTTTGCGGATGCAAAAGATATGGGCTTCCGCGCGCACGGACTCGGCCACGCCGCCGAAGTCCTTGACCCAACTTTGGGCGTTGCTCTGCTCCTGGGCGACCGGAAGTCATCGGTGCTTTTCTCCCGCTCGGAGGGGAGGGAAACTCGAAGAAATCGGCGTACCTTCTTTGTTTTATTGGATAGGTGGGTGGGGGTGGGGGTGGGGGGTGTGGGGGTGGGGGTGGGGGTGGGGGTGGGGGGCGGGGGTGGGGGTGGGGGTGGGGGTGGGGAGCGGGGGTGGGGGTGGGGGTGGGGTGGGGTGGGCGGGTTAGATGGGTGGGGAAGGGTGGGGTAAACATCATCCGGCAAACATGTGCCATGTCTTATCTAACGTCAAATAGCAAAAGAACCTCGGGCGTGTTTGGAGTTGTAGGGTTCAGGTTGAGGAAGTGTCCGGAAACAAAATCGTCGACCCTCGAACTGCCCTTTAACAAATGGGAGATGTCCCCCAACAGAATGGCTTCTGCTTTGGCCAGGGGCGAAACTCCCAGTGGCAGCCTGTGACCCGAGAGGTAGAAAAAGTTGCAGCATTGCAACCCTTTTGTGGTCGGGGAAGCCACCAAACAAACAGCAGGATTTGGAGGGCGGAATCTGCGAGATCCACGGCACCATCCTGTTGTTGTTTGGCCCGAGGTGCCTAAGCGCCAAAAAAAACGAGTCAGACAGGACAATGGAACCAGGTGCCGGCTTGTAGCTCCTTCAAGGGTCCCTGAATTTGAGGACCTTCTGGCGAGCTGTTTCAGCCAGAGCCTCCAGTGGATTTCCCGCGAAAAAAGGAGTTGCCTCCACTTTTGGAAGTCGACTTCAAAGCCCCCCCTAAAAAAATGGGTTGAAAAACAGGAGCTGGAAGAAACCCGCGAGTGTCTGACGTCGCTCCCTCCGGGCGCCGCGGCGGGGCGGTCTTCAAAGGCGAAGATGGTGGTCCGTTGCCCGCCCTTCCCCGGCGGAGCAATGGCCTGGCACGTCCGACCGACGGCTCGGCTCGTCGGACTTCCTGCGACAAGTGACAACTTGTTGATTGCATGGGAAGATGATGGAAACCCAAAAATTCGATAACCAAAAAAAGTAAAAGAAAGTCTGCCAAAAAGTCAAACAAAAAGTAAATCAAGTCTGGGTGTTTGGCGCGTTTGGGAGGGAAATGGGGGGACTCACTTGATTTTCCGATCACAGGACTCACTGTGCTTCTCATGTGCTTAAAACCCACCCAGACCCGAGCCTAACCCCCTGCCCCGCTTGGCCTCAAGGCCACATTGTTATTTGGTGTCGAAGAAACATAAACTTGCAGGCACACAAATAAAAACTTTACGGGTATTTTGAGGGTCCTTGTGCGGCTCCTCTCAGGCTAACAATCCCCTGGTATAAGACGTATACCCCGCGGCCGCAACATGGCCAATGGGAATCGGTTCAATTGGCAACCAGCTTCCATTTGCTTAAGCCCCCTGGAAAAAAAATGTGAAAATATGTCCAGTAGTGAATTCGATTCCCTTCAAAACCAACAGGTTAGAAATAATAAAAAAAAAATCTCAAACAAATGGAAGCCAGGGCTCATGGCTTAAACCTCCGGGGAAGAAATGCGGGGAAAACTTCCGGATTCCCCGGCCGCGTGGAGGAAGGTGAGCCGGCCCTCGAGCACCAAGGGCCTCGGCTCCAGCGATTTTTTCACCGGGCGAAACATGAGGATCCATGAGCCAGGACCCCCCAAACGAGGTCCTCCAGTGGAGAGGTTAGAATAAGTGGGTGCCCGATTTTTTTTATTTTATTTTTTCTGGAGTCTTTCTTTTAGTAGGGGAACCCTCGCAACCAAACAAGGGTCAAAAGGCACGGGGGACCCCGCAATGGCTCTCGTGACCTTCTGGGGGCGATTTGGCGATTTGGCGACCAGGGAAAGTTCGGTGGACCAGAAAGTTCGGAAAACCTAGGTCCTCCAGTAGAGAGCTTAGAATAAGTTGGTACCCGATTTTTTTCTGTATTCTATTTTAGTAGGGGAACCCTCCCCAAAAGAAGGGTCAAGGGAACTAGGGGACCTAGAAGCAATAAGCCCAGGTGCTATCCCCAACACCCTTGGAAAGGAATCATCCGGAAAGCTATTTGAATTCCGAACTACTCCGTGAGCCTATTTGGGCCTATCAGCCCCGAAGCTTTTATTTGAACCAAAGCAACCAATGAAGGGCTGACTCTCAGCAGAGTCCTTGAGGGAATGCCAGAGCCATCCAACTGGTGGTGTCCTTTCAAAACAACAGGTTCGTGCCCAAAAACCTGTTTGATTCCTGGCAGGAGAAGTTGGAACCACAAACCATTCGAATCCTGCGAGGAATCCCTAAACTATAGTATACAGTCATTCCCTGAAGGGGAACCCCCAAAACGCGCAGTCCTTCGGATTCAACCAGCAACATAGCAGCAAAACCAAAAAAAAAACACACACCGAGCAAACAACTTTCGGAGCTCCAGGAGCTTCAACCCAACTCTTGTCGCAGTCTCTCGCCTGAAGCGTCAAAAATCCAAAGCTTGAGGTTGGACATGAGACCACCGATGCGCTGAACATTTTGAGCAGTGAAGCTGTCTAACCCAGAGGGTCCCTTAGTACCTCATGAGGATGGCTTTTGGGGGTAAGTGGCACCCTAGGATATTTTTGGCCCCAACGCTTCCGATGCATATGACTCCCACTTTGGTGATGGTCCATATGGGCCACAGGCGGCTCAAATATGACTCATATGACTCGACCCCTCACATACGAGATAGACTGCTATGACTGGACCCCTCATATGGGTCCAAATCCAAATCGTACCCCCAGTGAACATCCCAATCCCCACTAAAATAGACTAAAATGGGTGGTGCATACCCCAAAATATGGTACCATTGGTTTTGACCCACAGCCACATGAGTCCTCGAAGGAAATGCTACAAAACCTCAGGTATGGCTCTCTGAGCAAACTCTTGAATTGGCATGCTTACTAGTGCCGAAAAAAAGTCGCACCCGTCTCCGTTTTCCCTCAAGGCGCCGCGCTTGACCCAATCCACTGCCATAGCAACCTGCGGGGCAAAGTGCCGGACAGGGCTTCTTTCTGCGTAAATATCAAAACAGGGATCTGGAATGGAAAATGTTTGGCTTCCCTTTAATACAACCTCAAAAAGGGGAAAATGTTCGGTTAGTTTTGGGTTCCCTTTAAATCAACCCGAAAAAAAGGCACCTCAACAAGAGACACTCCTACTTGGTGGCTTGGATTGGTTTGGAGGCGTTCCGGCAGTGCGACCCCTGCTTGGCTCCACAAGGAACTCGGGTTCAAATCCCGAAACCAATGAAATCACCAACGGAGGGGTGCGTCATGATCAGTTGAGCCGACTGCTCCGAAAACAGTGTTTAAACATATTTGGGGCAAGACACAAATGATGTGGAACAAGCCTTCAAACAAACCAAATAAACAAAGGAACGAAAAACCACCACACAACCAAGCAAGCAAGCAGACAAGCAAGCAAACAACCAAACAAGCAAGCAACCAAGCCAGCGATCAAAGCTTGGGAACAAAAAAACACCTTCGAGCTGCAATTTGGCCCCACGCTCCGGGCCCCATTATTTCTGGGTCAGCAGGTGCAACAAAAACCCTCGGTCTCTAAGGGTTGGATCGAGGGATGAGGGCCGATGAATCCATCCCTTTCGGTGGAAACATCCAGACGGAACCATCCCCATGTGTTGCTGCCAAAGAGCCGCACATGCAAGTTTTTTATGATTCCCAGGTCAACCGCCAAGCTCTGGGTGAGGGAAGAACCCAACTAGGTCCTCCAGTAGAGAGGCTAGAATGAGGGTACCCTTTTTTCTGTAGTCTATTTTAGTAGGGGAACCCTCCCCAAAAAAAAGGCTACCAGGGCACTACTGGGGGACCTAGCCTTCGAAACCTTCGCCCACGAGTTCTTGCCGGCCGGACCGCCTTGGCGCAACCCCAGAGGCCCAGGGCCAATTCTGATGGATCCCACGCGGATTTCGGTCTCGCTTTTGGCTTCCCCTTAATCTTGGTGGAGCAACAAATTAAATTCTAGCAGTTAAGTGGGGACTTCCCACTAAACCACAATAAGCACAAATGCAAAATGTGTCCCAACAACAACCATGTTAAGCCCTAAAAGTGGTTTCCTCACAAAACAAAACACGCACACACACACACACACACTGTGGATGGACGAAATGCTGCACCACTTTGAAACCATGGGAAACCATTATAGGTTGGCATTTGCAGGGGGAATCGGATCATTCCAATGTTTCTCAGGTGGTGCGAAATGGATTTCGTCCATCCACAGTGGGGAACACAGGCAACCATGATTCCCAAGCCCAGAGCCATTCCCGGCAAAAAAGACTCTTTGCTATCAGGACGCCCACACACATATTCAGTGAAATTCAGTGAACCTTACAATCTAAAACCATTTAAGGTGTCCTAAAAAACCATTTGGGAGAGCATTCCGCAAAAGTCCTTGCCACTTGAAATTTCGCCCCAAGAAATCTAAACAAAACATGTCAGAGCTGGACATGGACCGCCACCCATCGACTCCCCCGGCAAGAAGATCCCCGGCCTCGATGGCCTTGTAATTGGCCTCCACCGCCAAGACCCGGAAGCCCTGGGACAGGAAGTAGCGCCTTCCGGGAAACCTGGTTCCGGGAAACCTGGGAACATGGGGGAAACATGGGGGAAACATGGGGGAAACCTGGGGGACACATGGGGAAACCATAGGGAACCCGGGAGAGCGCCTTCCGGAAAGGAAACCTGGGGGGAACATGGAGGAAACATGGGGGACACATGGGGGAAACCATAGGGAATTCGTTGGAGAGGTCGGAATTGTATGGCAGTTGTAAGGTTTTCTTCGGCTATAAAGTTGTAAGTGTCGTACTGTGGATGGCTGCGAAAGAAAGAAATCGCAGCACGAAATGAACACCATTATTGGTTGGTATTTACGTTGGTGAATCGAATCATTCCAGGGTTTCTTTAGGTGGTGCAAAAATTCGTCCATCCGCAGTGGGGAACACGTGGAACCAGAAAAGAGGGGTTGGAACTTTTAGCAGCCTCAAACAAACAAAGGCCATTGCAAAGAGGGGTTGGTGCCCTTTGACTTCAGTCGCAATCAAAACCTGGTACTAAAATGGTCCACCCAGAACCATGTACAGGATTAAGAAGGCGGCCGCAGCTATTTATGGTTGGGATTCTCCCTTACTACCCTCCAATTACCCAGGTTTTGATTGTGGCTCACTTGTTGACTTGCCCTGCCTCTAAGAAAATCCTGGCCAGCCTTGGCAATTACCTTTCTTGAGGCCAGTCGGCACACCTCCAAGAGGAAGACACTTCAACTGCGGGGCTGTCGCATACTGAAAAGTCCAACACCGCGCCCAGAAAGCTCCTAGGCTGGGAATCCCCTCAATTGCCTATAGCCGTCTTCAAGTCCAGTCATTGAAAAGCTGGCCAGTGCTCCCAACCCGCCATTGGCACAAGGATCAAGTTGACACCTGATTTATTTGTTTTTTAAACACACCTTTGACCAAATTTATCCCCAGAAAGCTTGGTCACGTGTTCAAGAGCAACCCTGCCGCACCACTCTGTCTGAACCCAATTGCCAAGCCGCCAAGTCAGGAACACCAACGGGTCTGTCCCTTTTTCAAGGGACCCCCCTTTGGTTTCGTTTTGAAACTTGACCGCGAAACCAATACTTCCATTTGCTAAAGCTTTCTGTAGTGATGGATTCCCTTTAAAACCATCAGGGGAAAATAAAGCATATTCTCAAGCAAATGGAAGAATAGGACCACGGAAATCTTTGGTGGGTCATAACAAAAGCCAGCAGATCCATGGCGCTGAGGTTCCAGCGAGTCTGCACCCAAACCCATACCTCAACGCCACGGGTGATCCAAACTCTCCGCTTCCCTCCGAGGATCCTGGTGGCTTGGAGGCGTAAAGCGGTCGTTTCCCATTTTCCCGCCAGAACCATGGGGTTCAAATCCCCAAACCACCAATTGAGGGTTGCCTGACATACCTCACCTGCGACATTTGGCTTCTTTGGTGGCTGACCTTTAAAAGAAGCAAACTACGCAGACCTCCTGCTCATTTCACCGCCCAGGCAGTTCTCATTTAATTAAATTTGGAAATCCTTGCTCATTCGCTCCAGCCAGTGAGAGTAAGTCTGCGAACTGCCTGGATTTGGAAAATGTGATCATTTTGCCGGGCTGCCCATCTGTCTGTCCTGCTTGGACGGGGATAGCACCGACTCAAAACCAACGGAAGTGCAGAATTACAGGCCTAAATCCGGAAAAACAGTCTCAGCAAAACTGTCGTGTTGCCACTGGTCATTTTTTCCGGGATCGGTGTAGCATCCAGGAGCCAAGTATTCCCACTGTATCGGGAGCAAGCCAGACATGGCCCAAGGGCACAAGGTTTCCACTGGCCAACAGCGGCAATGCCGTCCGCAGGCTTGTTCTGAGCGGCGCACCAATGTCGATGACCAACGGCGCGTCCTGCGCAAGGTGCGCTGGACGCAAAATTGGGGGAAAAACCGGTGGCGACATGGTTCAAAGGCCCCCCTCTGAGAGCATGGTTCAGGTTCCACTGAGGGTGCATTCCACATGGTGCATGATCCAAATTCATGGAAGCCGGGGGGGGGGGGGGTTGAGGTTCGGTGAGGGGGAGGTTCTGGGGGTGGGATTTCCCTGGACCCTAGGCTCCAACAAGCCCTTGTTAAGGCAACTAGGAAAGGGGTCAAGCCTGACAAAAGAAAAACAACTTGTTTCTTACTGAGGTGAAAAAGTTCACGGAGAAAGTCCAAGTGCATGGGCAATGTGATTGCTTGTTCTGCCAGGTGTTCTTCTATTTACGCTACCTGCGCACCACCAATGCAAGTAATGGCTTCTTGTGGCGGCTTCCTGTACAGCGCTATTGAAACAGTGTTCATGCCTAAATATTGCAAGTGTTCTAGGGGTTGATTCCCCATTCTTTTCAGCCATCGTTCTTTTTAAAAACCAGCCATTTCCCCAGGGTTTTTGGTGGTTTTCTAGAAAGAAGGATCCCTGGAAAGAATGGGGAAGTTACCCCCTAGACGTGCAACAAGTTGGACTGTCTGAAAACCGCATTTCAGCAGGCTAGTGGTGCTGGTTCACTGAGCTTGCATGGCCTGAGACCCCCTGCAGAACTTAAGTGCTTGCTGGTTACAAGGAAAATCAGGGAAGCTCAAAAGACCGACAGGGCCAAAAGGTTTCGCCGCACCTGGCGAGGAGTCCGAACTGCTTGTTCACTGGCTGAAAATCTGCCCCTCCGAAAAAAAGTCCAGAACCATACCAACACCCCCCCCCACAGATATGGCTGTGGCTCAAAATTAAACAGGAGGGGTTACGCGGGTTTTGGTCCATGTTTCCACTTACCAGGGCAACCCATTTTGGAGTTCCGGTTTTTTGAGCCACAGCCATATGTTTCTCCAAGATCCCAAGTACTGTCCAAAAGCCAAAGGTTGGGTCCCCGCTGCTGGTCGCGCGTGGATTGAGACAACCTCCTCGGGTCCCCTTCATGCGGCCACGATCCCCAGGTCCAAACTAGCGGGGGGGGGGTTGATCAACATACCTCTTCATTGATGGAGTCTCCAAATCGGACCCTTAAAAAAATGGTTGGTCAATATACCAAAAAAAACATGGAGTCTCCCTAAGGACCCATACAAAATGGTTGGTCATTACCAAAAATCATGGTTTCATGGTTGGTCATTGACCCATTTTTAGAGGGTCATGAAAAATAACTCCAGGTTCGGCCCCCAAACGACCGGTTTGGGGAACTTTTCCTGACACATCCAATCTTCTTTTTGGTGGTTCTCCAACCAATGGTCATCCAATGTATCACCGAACCGTTTGATCAACCCCTTCAGTGTTGGCCCCTTCTTTTTAATCAACCCCAGCTTTTTGATGGGGGAAATGCCCTCCAAAAGTGATGAGTCCCCACTACACCCAGGGACACCCCCTATTGATAAACTGGCATTGATCAATATGGAGGTGTCTTTTCTTAGCAGACTCCGAAAATTGCTGGCTTTCCTCTTGGTTTCCCTTTAAAACCAACTAATAAAAGGGGACACCAACCCAAAAAATCAACCCCAGTTTATCAATAGGAGGATGTCAACCTCAGACCACTTTTGGAGGGGCCCCTCACCCCCCTGTTAATAAGCTGGTTGGTTGATTAAAGACTAGGTCCTCCAGTATAGAGTTTAGAATGAGGGTACCAACTTTTTTCTTTGGTTTATTTTAGTAGGGGAACCCTCCCCCAAAAAAGAAACGGAAAAAGGTAAAAGTTGGCACCTAGCTGGGGGACCTAGAAGAAAGGGGTCAACTCTCTTCGCATCGCGTCCGCGTCCATCGAATCCTCCAGGCGCGGAAGCCCCCAGGGAGGAGCCGTCCTCACCGCGCCCAACTCCGCGTCCTCCACCGCGCGGAACGCGGCGCGGAACGCTTCGTCGCGCGCGCGCGGTTTGGAGCCGTTTCGGCCGCGAGGAAACGCCCTGGGTACTTGAAGGGGCGATCGATGCAGTGTAGGTCAGGTTAAGTGGGGAATTTCCATTGATGTTACCGTATTACCATGTTTATCCGCCGACCCCTTGTCTGCAAGGGCGAGGCGCATGGGAAGGGTGTCATCATCATCAACATCGTCGTCATCCTCCTCATCATCGTTATTATCGTCATCATCATAATAATCATCACGCTCGGCTCCATTGGCGATTCAAGGGATGCTACGATGATAGTGGTCAAGGCACCGCTGGATGTCGCGATGATAGTTGCGATGACGCGGATGATCGCCATCATCTTCCTCATTCATCATCACCGTTGTCATCATCATCATCGTCATCATCATCCACTGTTGGAGATGCAGGGGATGCTACATGATGCTTGTCATCATCATCGTTGGAGATGCAGCGGATGCTACGATGATACTTTTCATCATCTTCCCATTGTCATCATCATCATCATAATCATCGTCATCATCATCACCGTTGTCATCATCATCATCGTCATCATCAACTGTTGGAGATGCAGGGGATGCTCCGAGGATACCTATCGTCGTCATCGTATGACACTGTTCATCATCTTCCTCATAGTCATCATCCTGATCATCACCGCTATCACCATCATCATCCTCATGCCTGCAAGAGATGCTGGGGATGCGTGGTGATAACTGTCATCGCTCGATTTGAGATGCAAAAGACTCATGGTCATCATGATCATCATCGTCATCATCATCGGAGATGCAGCGGATGCTACGATGATACTTTTCATCGTCTTCCTCATAGTCATCATCCTCATCATCATCCTTTCTTGCTTCTTATATAGAAATCAAAAGTAACGTTAGACCCCACTTGCAATGCAACGGATGCTACGATGATAGTTATCGAGGCACTGCTAGAGATGCAGAGGATGTTGCGCGCGAAGTCATCCTCGTCATCCACCGTTGTCATCATCATCATCGTCATCATCATCCACTGAGATGCGTGTTCATGATTATCATCATAACTGCTGGTGATGCTAAGGATGCATAGTGATAAGTATCATCACCCGATTTTCATGATCATCATGATTGCTGGTGATGCTGAGGATGCATAGTGATGATTATCATGCGATTTGAGATTCCTCGTCATCATCACTTGTTTTTGTTATCGTTGGAGATGCAGCGGATGCTACGATGATACTTTTCATCATCTTCCTCATCATCATCATCCTTTCTTTACTTCTTACAAAGATATCAAAAGGGACGTTAGACACCACGTGCAATGCAACGGATACTACGATGATAGTTATCCAGGCACTGCTAGACAGTCACTATCATCTTCCTCATAGCCATCCTCGTCATCATCACCGTTGTCATCATCATCATCGTCATCATCATCCACTGTTGGAGATGCAGGAGATGCTGCGATAATACTTGTCATCGTCCTTGTTGGAGATGCAACGGATGCTACGATGATACTTTTCATCATCTTCCTCATGGTCATCATCATCATCATCATCGTCATCATCATCATCACCGCTGTCATCATTGCCATCGGCATCCTCCACATCATCATCATACATACATACATACATACATACATTACATTACATTACATTACATTACATTACATTACATTACATTACATTACATTACATACATACATACATACCATTACATACCATTACATACCATTACATACAATTACATACCATTACATACCATTACATTACATTGCATTACATTACATTACATTACATACATTACATACATACATACATACATACATACATGCATATATGCGGTACATTACATGCATACACACACATACATACAGACACACAACAATACGTACATACATACATACATACGTACATTACATACCTACATACATACAGACATACATACATACATGCATACATACATACATACATGCATTTACATACATAAATGCATTTACATACATACATGCATTTACATACATACATACATACATACATACGTACATACATACATACATACATTGCATACATACATACCTACCTACATACATACATACATTACAATGCATACATACATACATACATACATAATTGCATAACATTACATTACATTGCATTATATTACATTACATTACTTACATACATACATACATACGTACATACATACATACATTACAGACATGCATACATTACATACATGCAGTAAATACACTGCATACGTACGAACGTACGTGCGTACGTACATACATTACATACATACATACATACATACATACATACATACATACATACATACATACATACATACATACATACATACATACGTATATTACATACATACATCCATTACATACATACATACATACATACATACATACATACATACATACATACATACATACATACATACATACATACATACATACATTACATACATACATACATACATACATACATACATACATACATACATACATACATACATACATACATACATTACATACATACATACATACATACATACATACATACATACATACATACATACATACATACATACATACATACATACATACATACATACATACATACATACATACATACATACATACATACATACATACATACATACATACATACATACATACATACATACATACATACATACATACATACATACATACATACATACATACATACATACATACATACATACATACATACATACATACATACATACATACATACATACATACATACATACATTACATACATACATACATACATACATACATACATACATACATACATACATACATACATACATTACATACATACATACATACATACATACATTACATACATACATACATACATACATACATACATACATACATACATACATACATACATTACATTACATACATACATACATACATACATACATACATTACATACATACATACATACATACATACATACATACATACATACATACATACATACATACATACATACATACATACATACATACATACATACATACATACATACATACATACATACATACATACATACATACATACATACATACATACATACATACATACATACATACATACATACATACATACATTACATACATACATACATACATACATACATACATACATACATACATACATACATACATACATACATACATACATACATACATACATACATACATACATACATACATACATACATACATACATACATACATACATACATACATACATACATACATACATACATACATACATACATACATACATACATACATACATACATACATACATACATACATACATATACATACATACATACATACATAACATACATACATACATACATACATACATACATACATACATACATACATACATACATACATACATACATACATACATACATACATACATACATACATACATACATACATACATACATACATACATACATACATACATACATACATACATACATACATACATACATACATACATACATACATACATACATACATACATACATTACAGTACCTACATACAGACATACATACATACATTACATAAATACATACATACATACATACGTACATACATACATACATACATTACAGACATGCACACATTACATACATGCAGTAAAAAAAACTGCATACATACACACGTACGTGCGTACGTACATACATTACAGACATACATACATACATACATACATACATACATACATACATACATACATACCATTACATTACATTACATTACATTACATTACATTACATTACATTACATTACATTACATACATACATACATACATACATACATACATACATACATACATACATACATACATACATACATACATACATACATACATACATACATACATACATACATACATACATACATACATACATACATACATACATACATACATACATACATACATACATACATACATACATACATACATACATACATACATACATACATACATACATACATACATACATACATACATACATACATACATACATACATACATACATACATACATACATACATACATACATACATACATACATACATACATACATACATACATACATACATACATACATACATACATACATTACATACATACATACATACATACATACATACATACATACATACATACATACATACATACATACATACATACATACATACATTACATACATTACATACATTACATTACATTACATACATACATACATACATACATACATACATACATACATACATACATACATACATACATACATACATACATACATACATACATACATACATACATACATACATACATACATACATACATACATACATACATACATACATACATACATACATACATACATACATTACATACATACATACATACATACATACATACATACATACATACATACATACATACATACATACATACAGACCCCGGGGTCTGCGGATTCTCGGGCTGCTGTTGGTAGTGGCTTGTGAGGTCCCCCCGAACACAAAAACCAAGAAGCCAGCAGTGGCCTGAGTATCCGCAGAGTTCGGGGTCTACCTCGCACACCGACATACAGACGGTCCCCCAAAAACACAAAAGCGAGTATCCGCAGACCCCAAGGGCTACCTCACAATCCAACATGCAAGACAGTCCCCCCGAACACAAAAACAAAGAAGCCAGCAGTGGCTCGAGTATCCGCAGAGTTCGGGGTCTACCTCACACACCGACATACAGACGGTCCCCCAAAAACACAAAAGAAACACTACCAAGGGCAGCCCGAGTATCCGCAGACCCCGGGATCTACCTCAAACACCAACATGCAGGAACGTCGGAAAAAAGAGAAAAACAAGATACCAGTATACAGGCAAGTCCCCCAACAAAAAAAAGAACCAATACCAAAAGGCAGCCCGAATGTCCGCAGACCCCGCAGTCTGCCTCAGAGGCCGACATACCGGAAAGTCCAAAACAAGGCAAGGGAACGCTGCCCAAAAAGGAAACAAGAGCCTACCAAAGCCGGCCAAAGCATCCACAGACCCCGGGGTCTACCTCAAATGCCAACATACAGGACAGTAACCCCGCTGGGGCGGCGGCACTGGGCGGCAGCCCTTAAATAAGTCTCCGTTCAGTGGGTAACCAGGCTTACGAGCCACGTACTAAGTACATGGATGGGCCCGAACAAAGTTTGGAGCTGGTTGATCCCTTACCAAACTGATGCAGAAGTTCACAAAACAAATAGTTTAGCAGCTGTGATCGAGTCACATCAACACCTGCTATTCAAAGGGTCAGCCCTTGGGAAGGAAAGTGTGTGGAAAGCGGAACTTTTGGTTGGCTTCTAGGTGTTCATTCATTGTGGCTCACCCTTTGGGAAAACAAGACAGGGTTACTCTTGATTGGTCCAAATGAAGTTGTTCCAAAAGGTTTAAGTCAGGTGTCTGCAACCCAAGGGCAATCAAGAAGCAGGCAAAGGGCCCCTCCCCACACTATCCGTTTTCACAGTATATAGGGAAAAATCACTGAAGGGCACAAAGACCCCATGGTGTGTCAGTTGAGCGGGGTGGGATGGGAAAGCCAAGGGATGTTGCAAAAATGGGTTGCCAAGAGTCTTGGTCAAGCGGGCGCTGACTCAACGCCCCGGACAAGCTTTGACAATCATGCTCACCATCGCCACAAATGACGACCAGGTATTATCAGGATCCTTACATTATACACCTGAACATTGCCTTGTAAATGGTGGTTTCCTTTCATTTTGGTGAAAAAACAACATGTTTCAAATGGGCAACATGTATCTTTTGAGGAGCCCAGGTATTTGAACCGGGTATTCGCTGCAAGAAAGGAACAGCCATTGGCCCGTTCACTGTGCACTCGCAGTCTGGAACCAGCAAACGCCGCCAAACCACGGCCACTACGGAACATAGTGCCCAGCCACGCAGGGTCCCGGAAACAGGCAGGGCAGGACCAGGGTGTCCGGCCAAATTCGTAAGCTGCTAGTAACCCAGCAATGACACAGCATTGCTTGTACGTCCCAAGTTCAGTAGGGTTAAGCTTGCTATCAGTGGGTTATATTTAAGGTGGCCAACCACTTACTAACTCGGCGAATCCAACATGCAAGTAACCAAAAAAAAAAAAACGGTGGTTCAAACCAGCGAACAATTTGACTTATAGTAAACCCTGAGCTATGCCTTGCCCAATGAATCTCGTCAACTTGTAACGCCTTGCAAAGGGGAAGATACCTAGTTGTTCAGTGACCCTGGAAAAAAGGAATCCTTTTTGGGGAAGACCATTTTTAGAAGAAAAAAAGGGAACAAGGGTGCCACTGAACAACTGACGATACCGATTCTGCTCAGGTTCTCCCAACCTCAGGTAAGCAGCCACTGCAAAAGCCAGACTGCAAACCCCTGGTCTATCAGCAAACAACTCCATGTTCATTGTCTCCCCCAGTACAAAGGAAGAGTGCCAAACAAGCGGAAACAACACAAATATGCACACGCAAACCAAGAGTGAATTCATTATGCCACACACTTCCAGAATAGATTGGCCACAAAAGTGCAAACAAACAAAACAGTTTGGCACTAAAATGGTCCGAACCCAAAAAGTGACTAAAAGTCCAGGATCCATGGGAGTCAGGTGAGGTCACTGTGCAAGTCCGAAACGGAACTCAGGGAGTGAGGCGAGGTCATCGTCTAGGTCCTCCAGCAGAGAGGTTAGAATAAGGGTACCCGATCTTTTTTTGGGTAGTCTATCTTAGTAAGGGAACCCTACCCCAAAAAAGAAAGGGTAAAAATTGGCACCTAGTTGGGGGACCTAGAACATGGTCCAAACCCAAAAAGCGACTCAAGTCACTTTAACGGAACTCAGGGAGTGACGACATGATGCACGTTCCACGCGTTGAGCGCGGGCCGGAACCCGCCCGAATTTCGATTTCGCGCGACCGGCCTGCAGCTGCAGCACCGAAGAGGGCAGATGGTATGGCAGGCCCAAGACGTAGAAGGTATAGGCGATCTGGCGTTTTCAATCCGACAGGTTTTCAGTCATTTTCCGGGCTGCCCGCTTTCTACATCTGTCCTCACTTTTCATTATCCGAGGTCGTCCCAACTAAGCGTAGCCTGGAGGTTCACAACATACATGTGGCTGTGGGTCAAAAATGGGGTAACCCCCAAAATGGGTTGCCCTGGTAAATGGAACCCATGACTAAAACAGGCGGTTTTTCCTGGTGGTTTAATTTTGACCCACACCCAAATCTTAAATGGCATCCGACAGGTTTTCAGTCATAAGGGGCCTCCCGTGTTCCCCATGTTCTCCTGGGGCAACAAGTGAGTGGGTGTGGTGGGTGGGTGGGCGCTTTGTTTGAGCTGCTACCCTTGTTTGGGTTGGCTTACAGGGCAAGCGAAAGGGAAAACCACCGAAATGGGCTTGTTTCAACATTAACCCCCCAAAAATGGTAGATGAGTCCGGTGCACGCGCGAGCTCCTCAAAAACTGACTTCCACGAATATGCTTTACGATGCGCCTCACTCCCCCCGTTTTCACCTACCGGTTCCCAAAATGTGCGAAAATGTCTTGGGTCTCCAAGCTAACACACAAATCCCGAAGCACATCTTCCTCACCTGGTTCAAAACCTGAAACTTTCTTTGGCTCCACACCCAACACGGCATCCGAGACTCGGAATCCAGGTGTTGCTGGCCATCGAAGGGTTGATGACTGGTCCTTGCCACCTCAAGTCAAAGGATAAGAATTTCGACCATTGCACATATAACAATGTTATCTACATGTATAATATAAAAATCCACACATATATTGATATAATATTGACACAGCCAAAAAAGGACATGTTTCGGATGTGGAATAGTTGGTGAGTCCCCTGGTGTCCGTGAAACATGAGTGAGTCCATGTTCCATGTCCCGAACCCGAAAACATGATCCTTACTGGAATTTCTACGACCAAGCCTCACGATAATGTGGATGGACGAAATCCTGCACCTAAAAAACAATGGCAAACCATTGTCTGTTGGTGTTTAGCATCATGTCCACCAAAGCAACCCCAGTTCAAATCCAAACCCACATCCAAACAAAACCCCTGCAACACTCGGCACAACTTGCAGCCTCACCTGCGCAGTGGTGATGCGGAAGTGAGCGAAAAACTGTGCCTGAGACGAGTGCTAAGCTCAGGATATGTGAGCCCCGCTTGAAGGAGCAATTCACATAGCACATAGGAAGCAACCCCTGGTTGCAACACACTCACCATGAATCTAAGCCCCCTAAGTGGGTTAACCAGGTTTAGCACCCCCCTGAAAACAATCAACCCGTGCCACGTTGCTGTTTTTTTGGGGGGAGGGGGGGGAGTTGACAAGCCAACTGGAGTTTCCCCATGAACAAATACATACAGAACTGAGGAGAGCCTTACGAGGTCGCCCAAAAAATCGGTACCGGTGAGCCCACCGGTCAAACCCTCATTTTCAAAACTAAGCATCAGGCTGAAGCCAGACCTTCAAATTTGCCCACGGAATCGAAAAATATCGTAGACAAGTCGTGGGTGCCAAAACCCTAAACTTTTCGTTTACCACCAAAATCTTGGTTGACGTTGGAAGGGGAGCACAAATAAATAAATTTTAGCAGTTAAGTGGTTGGATTTCAACCACCAAACCACAATAAGCAAAAATGTAAAATGTTTCCCAACAACAACCATGAACTGGTCCAAACCCAAAAAGTGTCGAAAAGTCCGAAACGGAACTCGGGAAGTGAGAGAAGGACCCCAAAACCCGAAAACAAATCCGTTCGGGTGGAATCCGACTCGGACCGAACCTCACCTTCGGCTCGGCTCGACATCCCACAAGTCGCCTCATCAAAGGCGCAGCTGCTGATGATGGACAGTCCTGGGCATGGCACACTCGCTTTGCCTTCCGCTTGGCGGGCTGATATGGCCATGGTGCTGCCATTGGCGGTGGTTGTTGCGAGAAGTTTGGAGGTCGTGCTGAGCTCGTCACGGATCCTGATGGGTCAAAACCCCGGTTACCCCCCAGTGAACATCCCAACCCAACCACTAAAATAGGTTCTCCAATGGGTGGTGAATTCACCGAAAACCCCAACATGGGATCCCAAAACGGTTTGGACAACCACAGCCATAAATGTCAGGGGCTTCAAATCCCAAGGAGTTGGGCCATCGGCATTTCTGGCGCAAGCCTCGCGGGGTTTAACATGTCAATGTCTTAGGTCGGCTCCAGCCGACGCTAAACAAAGGCAGCAAAATCAATAAATGATGGTTCGAGAAGAAAAAAAAAGTCCGTCCCTGGTTGCTGCAGAAGTGGGGTGAAAACCATAGACCACTATAGTTGAACAATTCTAGAGGCCCAAGTGGGCAGTGACAAGGGAAACAACCATCTGCAGAAGACAACCTCTGGAAAGTGTCAAAATCGCTGGCCCTAATACTGCGCAGCACGTCCTCCAGGCAGGCAAATGCATTTCAGAATCCCGTCGGCTGACAGAGGGCATCCCAACCAAGACTTCGACCCGCAAAAAGTCACAATTTTCTGCTCAAGGGGAAATGATGGAAAACCAAAGGGGCAGAAAGTTAAAAAGCTTAGCTATGAACTTCAACTGACCCGAAATGGTGGACATCAGAATTCCTATGTCCACCGCCCCACAGAATTCCCTAGGCAAAAGGCTTGGGGTTCCGTGTCCAGCTGTAAAAAACAGGATTCGGGGCTCCTTATGACTTGGGTTTTTGGTTCGTTCTTCGGGGTTCCTCAGGCTTCCATGGCCGTGTCTTGCCAAGTCCGCAGTGAAAACCCACCCTTCACAAGGTGATATGCAGCTAACCGCTTCAGGCTGTGAAACTGAATCCTGTTCATCTCCACCTCAGCTACTGACAAAAAGACAAGCCGTGAAGAAGGAATCAAAAGCGTTTAGCTCTCCAGGCTCCAATGGAGGCATGAGCTCCAATGGCGCGATCGAGCCATGTTTCACGAACTCCGAAGGACGCCGCTCGGAAGGTCAGCCAAAAGTTAATCAATGTGCTGGTGGTTTCCAGTGAGACTGCCACTTTTGGAGATGTTAAAAGGGGTAATGGAGGAAACCCGATCTGATGCAACTTGCTCATTTATTGCATGGGCAACAAGTTGCAGAGGTTCAGTTTAAGTCCTTCTTCTAACTCAAAATGGGTAACAGGTAACATTGCCAGTCATCTTGAGGGAGAGCGACTCCGTTTACAAGGCGAAGCCCCCTGAAAATTCCCGGAGTTACAAATGCCAGGTTCCTAAAAAAATGGAACATGCCTGGAGACTTGGTTTACAGACTTATTTTAGCCATTTGTCCATGTATCCCAGGCAGCCCCTGTATCACTTCACTGTGTCAATGATCGATTTACAACAAAGTTGGGTGATGCGTCTTTTGCTTTCCTTTCAACCTGGACCCGGAAATGGGTACCCTCAAAGCGACCCCCTATTTTAAAGGGGCATGGTACTTAGGAAGTGCTTAGTAAGCCTGGACATAGCCATGGCTGTTGTGGGTAACCATGGTTCTTACCCACTTACCTGACGTACCGAGTTACAGTTATAACCCACTTAGGAGACTTATAACCATGGCTTTTGTGGGTAACCATGGTTATGACCCACTTGCCCGACGCACCGAATCGATCGCCCCTTCAAGTAGGCCTTTGAAGCAACCATGGTTATGACCCACTTAGCCTGACGCACCCGACGCTTCGATCGCCCCTTCAAGCAGAATCGTCATCTTTGGGTCCTCCAGTAGAGAGGTTGGAGTAAGGGTACCAACTTTTGTCTGTAGTCTATTTTAGTAGGGAAACACTCCGAACCAAAAAAGAAACGCTAAAAGGGCACCTAGCTGGGGGACCTGGCATATGACAATGTTGTCTACGTGTCTAATATAATATACACATCCGCACATATTGATATAATATTGGCACAGCTATACAGGACATGTTTCGGTGGAAGAGTTGGCGCGTCCCCCCGCCACGGCTGGATTTCCCGCCCCGCCGAGCTTTTGGGCCACCCCGCCAGTTTCGTAGAAGGACCAGGGCTGCACGGACTGGCCGAACTGGTTTAGTGGCGGAGGGAACTGGCTTGGCTTCCCCCACTTTTCGGTTGCCCAAAAGAAGACGCGGCCATGAAGACCCCTCAAAAAAAAGGAAACAAAACCAGCAGAAAGATCGTCTCAAAACTGAGGGGTGGAGTGCGTGGGGGCCGTGAAACTCGGCACAGACCTTTGGGGCAAAGCTCCCTCCCTTCCCCCAAACTGAAACGCTAAGGCCTGAGATGAGTGAGGCCTTCTTTCTGCTCAAACAAAAACCGCTGGACGTGGAGGCGGCCAAAAGGGCCTCAACGCGCTCTCCAAGGGGGCGCCAAAGCGCTCAGATTGGCTTGGGATTGGTTCATTGCAAAGTCCGCCCTTTCTGTGATACCAAAAACAACGCAGAAATCCCCAAACTCAGCGGGGTATTTCCTCCCACGCCTTTCGTGAAGATAGACCTCCAAGCGAAGGTCCGAAAAAAGGGGGGCTATGCCTGGATCGGCCGAGAATATTTTGTCCTTGTAAGGCCTAGCTCGGATGCTCGTTGCCAAGTTAGTGGCTGGCCACCTACTAATAACAAGGTCAGCTCCACTTGGAGGGGCTGATAACCGGGGTATAGCTTAGGTTATCGGCAACTTACTAGCTTGGCGAATCGAACACCCAAGTAAGGGTTTTATAGGCGAACCAATAGCCCCCCCCCCCCCGTGTGGCCTTTCAGTGAGAACATGGCACAACTCCGAGCCCCAATCATTATGCATGTCTTTTCATCGGTGACCCGGACATCATTTCGGTGAACATGTATGTCCATTCTATTTCTCAGAAGCCCTATTCTCTTCACCAATCGTTATCTTACAATTCTCCCTGCGGTTTGGTCATTTTGTTTCAAGATAATCATGAAGAGAATGGGGATGGTGCAGCCAGAGACTTGTCTCTGATCGGGATTGCAAATATGGTTTCAACAACCAAAGGATGAGGTCTAGGGAGACCTAAACCAACACCTTCACTGGGGCATGTTCATCTAAAACATGTTGCTGGAATGGTCAGACGACATGCTAGAACTCACTGGGCTGTCCTGAGAGCTGCTACAATAGTTTAACTTTTCTAGGTCCTCCAGAGGATAGAATAAGGCTACCCGTTTTTCTGTAGTCTGTTTTAGTAGGGGAACCCTCCCCAAAAAAAGAAAAGGTAAAAGGGCACCTAGCTGGGGGACCTAGTTTTAGTGAAAAGTCTTAAATGGAAACCCCCACTGAACCAACTAAACGCCAAACAAAATCTAAGGACGTCCACTCCACTAGATCTAAACCACTCAACCACCACGAAACCACTAAACCAGTAAACCAAATCTAAGGAACCGGACGGCTGAGACCTGCGAAAAGTCGAAAAAAGATCAACAGGTACCCGATATTTTTTTGCAGGACGTCTATTTTAGTAGGGGAACCCTCCCCCAAAAAAAGAACAAAAGGGCACCACTGGAGGACCTAGAAGGTCAGCAGGTGCGCTCGGCCTGGCTGCGGGTGCTTGCGAAGAAGGCCAAGAGGTACCCGCTCAAACAAGTCCTCGGCGCTCGGCGCTCGGCCGCCGGCCGTTGTTGTTGGTGGGAGGCGTTTCGCTTTTTCACGGCGGATCATGTGGGGGTGTCAAAAATTGGAGGGAGCTGAGTAACCATCAAAACCTGGAAGAAAAAGGCCTACCCAAGTCCACGCAACGAAATCAAAGGGCGGATGTTCGCACCCATTTGTGGTGAGTGGCTCAACTTCATCTCAAAGGAGATCTGGCGCGTGACCAAAACCCATTGACTATTGGTACTACCCCTACTCCAACCCAGTTGTTCAGTCAGCCTGGCAAAAAAAGGGAACCCTTTTTGGAGAAGACCATTTTTAGTGGGGCAGGCACCAAAAAGAAGGGAAAAAGGGTGCCACTGAACAACTGAGCCAAATATGAACAGTGCCCAGGGAAAATGTTGAAAGGAACTGGGTTTGCGCATGTTTGGTCAGGGGTTAACATGGTACCCCCTCCCAAAAAAAAAAGCGGGTATTGGGAGCAAAGGGGTACCCTCTTCTGGGTCGCGTTTCATCCCCCTCCGGTACACACCCCTCTAGGCTTAATCTATCACCCTGGTCAAACCAGCTACCGCCACACACCTCGTGGCTAGGAACATCAAACCTCACAAACCCATGCGGCGCAGACTTGGGAATCCCGTTTCGCCGTTTTTACCCCAACCGGGGCTCTTGCAGGGACAGCAGAATCAAACACGCAGCCCACTTTGACGAGGTCCTCCAGTAGAGAGGTCAGAATAAGGGTACCAACTTGTTGCTGTTGTCTTTTTTTGGGGAACCCTCCCAACCCAAAAAAGGGGTTAAACACGGCACTACTGGGGGACCTGACCACGAGAGGGCTGTTGCCCCTGCAACTCTGGGGCCACGGCTCCAGCGGATGCCGGCCGGCCTCAGTGCCCGACTTTATGAAAGGATCCAGGGAACTTGACCCGGCCCTGCTTGTCTGGAAAGATTCCCCGGATACTGCCTTTGGCAACCCCCTGCCTCATTTGTTTGCCTTCCAGTCGACGCCTATTTTGGGCTCAAAATCAAGTTGGGAGTGTGAAATTAACAGTTGTCTTGGTTGACCTGACCCCTTGTGTCAGCAGGTCAGCGACTGGGTCCTGACTGACCATGTAACACCGCTCTCGGCATGTTTCTCTCGCCTCCAGATTCACTGGCCGTTCCATGTTGAGGAAGTCCTGCGGCGAGCAACGTGGAATCCAGAAACTTCAGGACACATATCTACTTGTATATTATGAGATGGAAAAACATTAGAATGGAGGTTCGGGGTACTTCAACGCCAAACTTTGTGTTTGTATGTGTGTGTGTGTGTGTTGTGTGTGTGTGTGTGGTGTGTTGTGTGTTGTGTTGTGTGTTGGTGTTGTGTGTCTGTGTGTGGGTGGGTTGGGCTGGGCTGGGCTGGGCTGGGCTGGGTTGGGTTGGGTTGGGTGAATGTAATTACTCAGCCTCAGCCCCGTACCCCTTTGGAGGACCAAACGCACCACCCCCACAGGGCAGACTGAAACAAGGCAAGCTGGTTTGTTCGGGTGGTAGCAGCTTGATACCCAGGGCGCAGTTCTGCGGAATCCAAACACCTCTTCCAGGGGTCACGGGAGATCCCTGACTTCCCGCTTTGATCTCAGCGGCTTGACCCATTTCAGTGACCCCCGAAAACAAATCGCCCCCGCCATTCGTTCCACCAATGTGGCGGCAGAGGGTGACATGTCCACTGAACAACTCAAGTCGAAGAGGTACCTCTCCGGTGAGAAATTGTCCTAAGCCCTATGACTTCTCATGGGCAACTCACCTTCCTGGCCAATTTAAATTTACACGGCCTGTCCGTGAACACGTTCCCTGGTTCAAGAACGCAGGCACCCTCTCCATACGTGGGGGAACATGTATGCGTCCAAGTAGAAAAACACACAACTGCTGGCTTTCCTTCTGATTTCCCTTGACACCAACCTTGAAATTGGTGGTTCTCCTTGTGGTTTCCCCAAAACACAAAACTTTAAACGGGTCCCGACTCAAAAACAAACACACACACACACACACAGACACAGCACACAACCCATGACACAACACCCCTCGCCCAGAAACCCACTTTCAAGCACACCTGGCCACTCGAAATTGCTGCGTAAGGGGGTCATAGTAGAATACCAGAAATCTTGAAGACACCATAAACATCTGGAAAAGCAGAAAGTTCGAAGCTTGCCGAGGCAAATGGGCATGACTTTTACTTGGGGACCCTTTGGTGGACATCAGAAAAGGTGCGGATTCATGTCCACCAACCACTTTTAAGCTTCCATTTGGTTAAGACCCCTGGAAAAAAATGTCCAGTAGTGATAAGCCCCTTTTAAAACCAACAAGAGAAAAACAAAAAACACTGAAGCAAATGGAAGTAAGGTGGTTCCCTCTTGAAAATCATAGCCAAACTTTGCAACAAGAGACACTCTGAAGTTTTTCGCAAACCCTCCAGGCACCGATCTGCGGTTGCACCGAGCTCCTTCAAGACCTCTCTGCTGGCGAGCACCAGCCTCGGGCTCTCCGAACTTGGATCTGCGATTCGATGCGCGTCAGTGGAAAAGGCGATCCATCCGAGGCAGAACCAAAACCCGGAACTCAACTGGTGGATGCCCAGAGCCACGTAAACAAATCCTAGGCGGAGATCCGCGGCTCTTTATGGCCAGGGGAGTGTCCCTAATTACTAACCTTCATCTACCCGGGTTTTGATTGTGGCTCATCTGAGGCATAACCCACTCATAACAAGGCTAGCGCCACTGAACGGGGGACTCATATTCTTCCATGTATAAGCAGTGGTTTGCCGACAACTTACTAACTTGGCGAATCGAACACCCGAGCAAATCCAGAACATACGGTGGATGGACAAAATCCTGCACCACCTAAGAAACCATGGGAAACCATTGTTGGTTGGTATTTACTCGGGAATCGGATCATTTCAGGGTTTCTCAGCTGGTGCAGGATTTCGTCCATCCACAGTACAGTACTAGCGGAATCTCCCTCTCACTTCTCAAGTGGGTTGGCCAAACAACTAACTTGTTCTGCTCTGAGATGGGCTTTCCACAAAGTGTCAGGTCCATTCGGGCGCACCCTCTTTGAGCGTTTGGGCTTCTTCCGTTGATTGCATTCTTAGACGATTTCCTGAACTTTCCGAATTTCCAAACATGAAGGCCAAAACAGGCCACACTGGCCCCAAAGGATCCCGCAACTTAGTTTTTCGTTTCTCCCACTCCTCAGGGAGTCCTGTGGTGACCAGGTGGCAACCCCATATTCCCATTTTGAGCTAATTTCTGGTGGAACCAGATCAAAAAGAGGGGCCTTAAAAACGGTTTCTACACTTGGGGGGCTGCTTCTTTATGTTGCAAACAATGGAAAGGGCAGCACATGCATGGTACCTAAAGGGGCGAGCGGGTACTTAGTAAGTGATTAGTAGGCCTGGTTATAAGCCTAAGTGTAGGTCCTCCAGTGGAGGTTAGAATGAGGTACCCTTTTTTCTGTTGTCTGTTTTAGTAGGGGAACCCTCCCAACCAAAAAAGGTAAAAGGGCACTGCTGAAAAACCTAGAAGTCGGTTGTAGCCCACGGTTCGTACCCCCCCTCCTGACGTACCGAATCGATCGCCCCTGAAGGAAGGACAACTAATCGAACGGCTCGGAGAAGCCCTTTCCTCATGTTGACTCGCCCGTTCGCAGGAGCAGCTGGGAAGAAGCACTTGGATTCACGGCGAGCATGGGCTTCTCCGGGTGCCTTATACACATATCTTCTCCGGGTGCCTTATACACATATCTGCCCGTAAAATATCGCCCCAGGAAAGCCAGCAAGGCAACCCAAAAGCTGTGTTTGGACCATATACACGCCTGCCCGTAAAGTATGACCCCACCGAAAGGCAAAGGACAACATGGCAACCAAAGAATGTGTGGACCAAGCAAAGATAACTAGCTGTCCTTCTGGGCCGAAACTGGCCATCTGAAACGCTAGTGGACGGCAAAGAAGGGCAGGCATCCGTGACACAGCACACCTCAGCTGGTCAAACATACTCTTAAACCCGCTTTGCCTGAGTTTGAAGCTCTCAGTTGAATACGCCTGAGACTAAGCCTCTCAAATATCCGAGCTAGTATATATTCTTGATTGAAAAAAGTACCAGCCAGGAACCCTGTGGTGAACATCACCATGAAACGGCCCTGCCTGTTTTCGAGCGGTACATCGTTAGCCTTTCAGGGGGAATCCACGGTAGACGGTAGCCACACCCCTTGATTCCAGCCAGTAAAGCAGGAAAGCCAAACGAACCATCCTGAATTAAAGAAGACATGGACCATTTCTGGCTGCTATGGTGGCAGCTGGGATCCACTGGGAACCGAATTCTCACACCAGCATTCAGTTGGCGCAAGTGGTTGGACGCCAGGGTTATAACACAGCAACAAGGTCAGCGGCACTTAGCGGGGGGGGGCGTTAGCCGGGATATAACTTTGGCTCCTTAGGGTACTTAAAGGGGCAGCGTACTTTGGATTTGGTTAGTAAGCCTGGTTCTGACCCACTTGCCGTGGATATACATCTAAGTGGGTTCTAGCCAAGCTTGCTAACCCTTAATCCGTGTCCCCAGGGCTCCAGGCCGCTGGTTGTCACAGAGCCAGCACTCTGTCTGGCGCGCTGGCAAATCGATGCGACCGCTCGCGCGATTGTCTATCAGCCACCTGTCCTTGTTTTCCTCCAAACAATATAAGGGCCTGAATAGTCACACACACTCACAAACACTTGATCTATTCCCTGGAAGGAGATGACATCCGCTTCTGAATTTGGTCAATATCTGGTCAACATTTGCTTTACACACACACACTATCCGCTTAGACCATGACTTAGTTTGGTTTAGGGCCTGAATAATCACACACACACACATTGTCCGCTTTTCATAGTGACCCCGAAAGCCCCTGCCCAATGGTTAGGCAAGGGCCCTCTTTGGCCTTAAGGCTTGGCTTATAAACCCCGGAACCGTTGGGGTGGTCTTGGTGGGGGTTAGTAGGGTCCCTAAGTCAGTGCCAGTTGCAACACCACGCCCAACGCTGCGCAAATCATCTCGCAAGGAAACGGGGCGGGCATTTGCAGGAACATGTTTATACACGGTAGCTCACAATCAACACTTGAAAGTCACAATAATAAACAAATGGTTGACAATGATGACAATCCTCTTGTACATTGATGGTACCCCAATTGATTTACAACTGAAGGGGGGTCTTCCTAAAGCGTTGTAAAAAATCAAAACGGCGCCCACACCGACCTTTAGTTGGGACTGTCCCCCTCTCACCTTGATATGCGCAGGTTTAATTTTGGCTCAACTGGGAAAGCGGGTACACCCCTTCCAGCCATGACAGATTGACTTCTTTTGGGGTGACTCGTTGAATGGGTTCTAACTCAAATGGGTTCCGTTCAGATGCTACACGCTTGTCCTTTGAATCAAGCGATCGGAACACGTTGATCAAGAACAGCTCAAACTTGGGGCCATTTGGGACATGGCCTGACCCGTGGAAGCCAACACAAGTATACAGGTCAAATCGCTTGGGTTGTCAGTAGCTCGAAGTAAAGTCGCTCAAAATCCAACTTTCAAGTGCAAACTAGCGCCCCTTTCAGCAGCAGTCATGGTTTGGGTCCAGGTCGTCCGCTTCGAGAACCAGCTTCGTTTCCCCGCAATCTGTTGGGGAAGCCACCCGGAAAGGTGTCCACGCACCAATGTGCGGCGGGAGAAATGACCCGGACCCTCGAAATTCCCCTGAAAATCATGCTTCTTTCGCCCTACCGGGTGAATCATTCGCCCTTGTTGGTAGTTTGAGGAAAACACAGAGCTCTTGGACGACTCAGACCGCCAACACCCCCGAAAAGCACCCAAGTCTACAGTCCCAAGACCTGGGCAGTTTTAGCTTAAAAGGTCGTCCCTGGCTGGGCCACGGATCGCTATGATTCGCAACAAAATGGGTGTGGTGCTCAAAATTAAGCAGGGGCAAACCGCCAGGTTTTGGCAACCATGTTTCCACTTAGGCTTGATTTTGGTACCGTTTTTTGAGCAGCCAAATGTTCCTGGTAAACCCAAAGGATTCAGTTGTCACTATACCAGGGTTTGCCGAGCCATTTTCCTTCTGGTTTTAGGTGGTTGCCTTGGTTACTAAATGTCATGGTACGGTGCATGCCCTAAGTATTGCATGCCAAACCGCAGAACCATGGTACATTGCGGTTTCCTTGATCCCTTATGCAAATTTGGGACATCCACCATAGCTCGGGCCGCCGCCCATCCCGAGATTCCCACAGCCCTCAGCCTTCTTCTGCCACTCCTCACGGTGGCAGGAGGCAATGCAAAACGCGGGGTCTCCGATAAGGTTCTCCTGACCCCAAATGAGTCATAGTCAAAACCCGGTATAAAACATGCTCTACCCAGAACCAGTTGAAGAATTGAACAGGCGGCCGGCACCCATTTATGGCTGGGATTGTCCCTTACGCTCCAATGACGGTGTTGATGGTGACTCAAATGAACATATCCCATACGCCTTCCAGAGGGTCCTTCGGGAAGCACCCTGGCCATCCCTGCACAACTCATTCGCCGCTGATTTGGGGTGCCTGCCTTTGGGGTAAGGACCCGTTCACGGGCGGGGCATTCACCCTCTATCCGTGCAGCTTGAAAATCAAGTCGGGCCCCTAAGGAGAAGATGCCGCCCTTGTTGGAACTAGATGGCGCTATAAGAACCGAGCCGGTGGAAACCATGTTGCTGGTTCAGGGAATGAGGGAATGACCCCCGTTAAAAACCAGATGGGCTTCCTTTAAGGGAGTCCTCAAACCCCTCGTTGATGATTCTACCCATCAGCAGCAAGTCTATTTTCCTCTCACCCCAAGGACACCTGGTCGCGCTCAGGTCGAAGGAGCCCGTGCAAAAACTCCCCAAGGGAGGTGCAAATGTTCAAGGGGAAATCGAAGGCCGACCTTGTGAAATTTCTCCCACCTCCGTGTGTGTTTGTGTGCGCCAAGGATACGACCATTGTCTGGGCTCAGACCACCTCTTTCCAAATCCCAATCCATACTCCAGTTTGCAAATTCAGTACAAAGGGACCTTTAACCTTTCGAATCCGAAGGGATCTTTTTAGTTGAATGAGCGCACCCCAGGTGGGAGAAATGACATTTGCCACCCAGACGTTGATTCCTGGAGGGCTCCACCCAAATGACCAATGGTCCAATCATGCAGGAGATAGTCTGGACATGTCCCCACATGCAGCAACCAATTTGCCGGATGCAGGTGTCCGTCGCAAAGTAGGGAATTTTGGGGATTCCTCAAGAAGGAAACCCCATTTGGCTGGGCTGTCCTCAGATCCGCTGCTAGAAGTTTAACTTGTATTGGGCTCAATGGAAACCCCCCACTAAACCCTAAGCACCATAAGGGGACGTGTCTTTGTTTGAAGGCACCCCTTTGGAGTGGTTTTGACGGAAAACCAAAAGGAAGGCCTTTCCATTCCGGGGGTTCAATTCCTATGTTTAGACGCCTTTTTAAAACCAAAGGAAACACCTTACCTACAACATCCACCCCAAGTATTGCCCAAGCAGGAATCCCAAAGGAAACCCTTTTCGGAAATCAAAAGGAAATGACTTTCAGGCGCCCCGGGCTTGAGAAGCCGTCAACAAAGCTCCACAGTGCATTTAAGTCCAGACAGGTCGACAACGGATGGGTTACTGACTGCTGTTGCCTCGTGTTGATCAAACTATGGGGACATTCCCGCAGAACATGCACTCCGCAACATGCGTGGATCTTGCTTGATCTCTTGCCACAGTAGGCCAATCCCGCCAAATTTCGACCCGAAAGATGGTTAAACAGCCATTTTCCTTGGATGGGGGTGTGGGGAACCTCTCGGTTATACGGGTAAATGGATCCACAGAGTATGGCCAAAAAGGCTCCCCACCCCTCAGCACCTTCTCAATATGAGGGTTCAGAACAACTCTCGGATCAAACCGCCCCAAAATCTCTCTTTGATGGCTCCGTTTGCAGATCATTCTGCATGCCTCCCTCAATTTGGGGAATCGACCCTTCGGGGCTCCTGAAGAAAGCTCTGGAGAGGCTCTGCCGAGCAGGATGGATGCAGGTACCTGCAAGAAGCGAACAGCCATCCCCATGGTCTTGCACAGCTGTGAGGCATCTCTGGCTGGTGGTCAAACCAAACTAGCTGAGACCTTTGAAGCAAAACTCAGCCAAGGCAGTGTTTGGACTCCATAGATGTCTCGGTTCCTTCCTTGGACTTGCAATAAACACCTCACTCTCAAAGTCCAAGGAACTGTATGGCTGGAAGCCAACAAACACGGCGCTAACAAACTTGCTTCAAGTTGAAGTTAAACATCGGCTTTGCTTCAGCCTGTGCCAAGCAGAATAGATATTGACTCGGGTATGAGTCAACATTTGGATTCAAACCCCCATTCTTGGCAAAGACACTATGTCCTTTTGAAGTATCGCAACCAATTTGTGAAAGTCAATTCCAACTTCCAAAAGAGATTCCAGTCATTGTCAATGGCGAGATTTGTTGCAGTCTCCATAACCCTTGGATATCATAATCTCCAGGCCCCACACGTATGGGATCAAGTGGGTCGCCTCAACAATTCAACTGAAATGGGTCTTGTAAAGCACATTCAGCTCCTTCAGGACATATTCGGAGGTGTTTCTCTTTGAGGGTATACTGGTAAGCCCCTGTGGTGTTCAAGGGAACCAAAAGTAAAGCCCCATTTTGAGGGGACTTCAAAAAACAAGGACACACCCATGGGTCACACGTGTTGGGAAACCCCGCCCTGAACTCTTCACGTAGGAATCCCCTAAGTGAGGTGTGAGCCAATCTGCAAAAATACAAAACAAAACGCCGAAGCCATTGGGCCCGGCACATGCAGCCGCCGCCACTGACATCCTCTCGAGCTGGTTCTCTCGCACTTAAAGGGGCAATCGATTCGGTACGTCAAGGAAGTGGTAAGGTTAGTAAGCCTGGTTGTCACCCACTGAACGGAGACTTCTAAGCACGGCGAGTGGGTCATAACCAGGCTTACTAAGCAAATGCAAAGTACGCTGCCCCTTGAAGTACGCTAAGGTCTCCAGTGACCCTACTTGCGTGTTGGGTGCTAAATTCGTCAGTGGTTAGTAAACCGTTCTGAGCCCCCTACGTGGAGTTTGACCTTGTTACTCGGTCATAACCCAGGTGGCTTGGCCACGAACATCCAAGTTCCTGGAGTCTCCATGAGCCTCTAAAAATGGGTCAATGACAAATGACCCCATTAATGTGGGTAATGACCAACCCTTTTTTAAGGGTCATTGAGTCAGGGAGACTCCAAGTAGTAGACAAAGGACGCAATTCTCGGCGCTGACTTTGTTGGGAACCCACCAAACCCAGCGGGGGAATAGAGGCTGGAAAATCCACTGAGCAGCTGGGGTAGGCGGACCAGACCTCTTACGGGCAGCAAGCCATCTTGGCTGAAAGCTGACTTGAGGGGGGGGGGATTCCGAATTCCGCAGATTGGACTAGTCTTCGGGAAAAAAAAGCAACAATCGCTGTTACCACACCCCAGGTTTCAATACAAACAGGTACTGTCAACGCAGGACGTCCTGAACTCTGGTTTTAGTGGGGTTCGTCACTTTTGGAGGGGAAGACCCCGTTTTCATAGGATGGGTGTATTTGTCCGGGGTCAGCATTAAAGTGTGGGAGCCCTTCAATGATTGAGAAACCTACAAGCCAAAAGTTCCAAGCCTGAAACAGCTCAAGACTTGGTTGACGTTGAAAGGGGTGCAAAAAATTAAATTTTAGCAGTTAAGTGGGGATTTCCCTCTAAACCACAATAAGCAAACATGCAAAATGTTTCTCAACGACAACCAAGAAGAGGCGGATCGACTACAGCCTTTGAGCTCTGCTTTTGGATTCAACTCGAGCGCTTGGTCCTCTGCCCCAGCGAAAAGAAGAAGGACGCCTCAGATCGAACTCAGCGAGTGGTTTCGAATGTTTCTCGGATGCTGGGGATTCCGAACAAGGCAAGGTTGGGCAACATGTGTGCCATGCTCACAACTCCTGACACGGCATGGGCACCTCAATAGGACAAAATCCTTACCAGGTGGATGACCATCCGTGCTGACCCCAAGCAAAGGAATCAGACTTTGACCATGGCACGTGTGGTTTAAACACCAGATCCGAGCCCCCACCCCCAACTAGAACTCATGACGACCTATGGCTGCTGATGGAACGAAATCCTGCACCCGAAAAAAAAAAAAAAAAAAAAAAAAAAAAAAAAAAAAAAAAAAAAAAAACTGGAATGATTCGACACCCTTGTAAATACAAACCATGCTTTCCCCCATGGTCTCAAAGTGAATGTCTTCCATCCGTCTTGCCCCCCAGAAAGGCTCTCAGAACCCGAAGAACCGCGCAGGTTCCTTGCGCAAATATATTCAACCGGGCTTTGGTTTCAAGAGGTGGACGCGTTCACCTTAAGAAACGATTGCTTAAGAAACGATTGCCCACCTTTCAGGCTGTCCCTTTCAAGTGAGGCATTTTGGCGCTTGGATTCCAAAAGTGGTGCTTTAGGTCGAAAGATCACACTGATTGTGAAAGCAATAATTCGCAGGGGTAGGGGGAATCCTCATGAGTAGTAAATGGTACTCGACAAAAAAAAAGGCATCCCTGGTCCTGCCACATCCTGATTCGCCACTTGGTTATTTTTAAGCCTTGCACATCGTGGCGCATTCCAAAAGACAGATATGGCGGCGAAGCTCGCAACAGGGCCTTGCTCACATATGGCCCTAGGCAAACATGGATTTGCAGGGGCCCCTCTCTGGTTGGTGGTTTGGAGTGGTGGTGCCAAATGGGTGCTATAGTCTCTACATGAGAGAAGCCCCACGAGTGGCTTCCTTGTGACATCCCTCTAAGGCCTTGGCAATACTCCCAAGCAGAAGCCCGAATTGTTTCGCCCTGCTTCAGCCGTCTCAAGACCTTGGGCACTGGGTTGGGCTCCGCGACGGACATTCCCCGAAAGGAGATGTCAATTTGTTGCAAAACAGGACACAAAGGATTGGACCCCGGAGAAAAGCCTTGGCAACCGCGGTTTGCTTGTCAAAGAACAGACCTCCAGTGGATCTCCATGAACAGAAACGGGGCACAGTTTTCTTGGTTGACTTTAAAGATACTTCCCCCTCGGGGTGGTTCCATAGCAAAATATGGATGAGATCGCCATCCACTCCTAAACATCCCAGGTAAGCAAACCAGAAAACCATCATGGTACGTAAGTTCGGATTTTTGGCTGGGGGGGCTTCGAGCTAAGGTAGATGCCCTACCATATTGCAGAAAGGGACACAAGGAAACCCTCCGAATTTACAGTAGTTCACTTTGGTTTTGTGGTTGAGTATGGTCGGTTTGCTTGAGAAACTTGGGGCATCCACGGTATTCTTAAACACAAAACCGCTCAACCCGAAAACCGTCGTGCTATCGAGCTGCTCAGCAGCAGCAGCATGCCCTCCAAGTTTGGCCATGACCGGAGCGCGCCACCGGTCCATTCAAGTGACACAGAAGGGTTCCCGTCTAACACCTAGACTCAAAAGTAGAACAACCCAAGGAACAAGTCCGAATAGCAAAGCGGCAGGCATCTAACTGTTCAAAACTTTCAAGAAATTGGGAAAGCCCAAAGGTGAAATCAAAGTCGTCGCTTCGAGCGGCGGTCCGTGCTCAATTCACATCTGCGGTCCGCCATGCTGGCTGGACATTTCAAGGAGGCTTGTTGCCGAACTTCGCACGCAATCACACTCGCTATGGTCAAACAAACATGTTAAAACGCAAGGGGACAGTGTCTGTGTTCCTGGCTCTTGGGGAAAGAAAGGTAGAAGCTGATGAAGTGCGGTTCTGCGAAATCGAATCGTTGTGTGTTTTCCGGGCATAGTTCCCAACGCTTTCATGCCCTGACAGGGAGGTTCCGGGTTCAAAAACAAAAACACATCACCAGTGAGAGGCCCGCTCGCTGAAGTGATTGTCCATTCTAACCACAGCCGTGCTGTCAGCTTTTGCCCAGAACCTGCCGTCCCCTGATTGGTTCCATGTGTTTTTCTCTGAGCCAACGGCTGAATGGCACGATGCGGACACTTCAGCAAGACGCTTGGTTCAGCATCCGATGTGAAGGGAGTGCTACCAGTAGCTTCGACAACACCGGCAGGCAGGTCCCCCTGCCCCGGAAAATGCCGAGACCCCACAGAAGCGTAGAAAGGGTCCCTTCATTTCCTGCCAGAAAGGTAAGACGATCGAATTCATAAGACATCTTCCTACCCTAGGTTGACATAGTTGCAATCTTGGCATCCAGGGAATGCGAAGAAAACCACAGGCAGGTTTAGGGGTTTGCCCGTTTTGTATCTCAGAAGACAGTCACGAGACACCATTCCATACACACCCTACCCAACCGGCAACAATAAACCAAATTAGGTCATGCAAAACCCTCCTCGTTTGGAAACATTGACCTACATGTCCGCAAATACCATGTATAAACAATATTTGATACATGTCTATATGTTTATATGTACACATTCACACATAGTTGATTTTATCATTATGATCTCTATAGATATATATATATATATGCAAATTATACTATAATTCCAAAAGCTGAATTAAGGGGTCCCCAAATAAAGGACCTTTGCAATGGCTTGAGCTTGTTTGACCCCCAGGTGAGCTCGCTATAAAATAATATTTATGTATATATATATATATATATGATTGTATATGCATATGTACACATTCATACATATATTCTGTCATTATGTCCATCTGTGTATGTATATATATATATATGTATACATGTGCATGTGTATTGTGTATATATATATATATATGGCTGTGGCAAAAAAAAAAACGGTACCAACATGGAACCCTGGTAAGTGGAAACATGGACCAAAACCTGCGTAACCCCTCCTGTTTAATTTTGAGCCACACCCATGTACGCATCATGCTTAGTCTCAAGCACTTCGCGGGCATTGTGGCGCATCAAGACGCTCGCCTCCCGCCTCCCGCCGCCAGCAGGCCCCCGACGGTGAGGTTGGGATGTGCCGAGCCTCGCGTTTCGCGGTGAAACAGCGGCTCCCGATGCCCTAGGGTTCAACCCCAGTCAAAAGACTCTAGGGAACCTATGGAACCCATTTAATGGCACACCTTCTATAGTCTCCAGGGTTCAACCCCCCAAAGGAATGATTGACCCAATTCGGATGATGACAATCCTTAAACAATGGTGGTTGTATGAACCCCCATTGGTTTCATGGTGGATTGAACCCGGGTATATTTGGGTGTGTCGTTTTTAGGACCCCAACATGGTCGGTTTCTTTTTGGTTTTTCCATTACCCTCCAAGAAAGGGGTACCCACTCCAAAAAAGATGGCGCTGCCATGCGCCGCCAATGTTTGCTCCTTAAACCTCAAAAACAAACTCAAAATGGCCCATGCGCCGCCAATGTTTCCTCCTTGAGCGTCACAAAAGGAAGCCCGAGCCGTTGGTTTCTTGAGGTTCCGTTCCTCCTGCCTGGGGAGCCAACGCCTGGACTGGCCACTCTGTTTTGAACATCGGACCCACCAAAACGAGGGGTTTCCGACGGGTTCCCTTCGCAAAAAGGGGGGGTTCCCAAAACAAAAAAGACAGCCTGAAACACCTCCCTGGCTGAGTGGATGGCCCAAAAAAAGTATAAACTTTATATTTACCACTAAAATTGTCTTCCCAAAAAGTTTAAAGTTCATGAACTCAGGAAGTCAGACACTGATTCTCCACTTTACTGCAATTGACCCATGGTTCTGTGCTCTTGCAATATATTCCAGGCATCCGCAGCACTTCTGGAACCTTTGGATCCTTGCCTGGTGGCGCCATTGCAGCAATAAACCGGCAAACGAGTTTCCCTGTGCGTAAAATTTATCTGCTCCTTCCCCCTTGTTTTGGCTCAAGCAGATTTGGGGCCACGCTTGAGAATCAGAATGCGTGGCAAGCTAGGCGCTCATGACGCATCTAATCCCAGCTAACAAACTCAGCTCAGATGGCAGCGGTGGCGACGCTTGCAGCTAAGTTGCTTTCCACAATGTATGGGTGGGGGTGGGGGGGTGGGGGGGTGCGGGGGTGGGGGGGTGGGGGGTGGGGTCGGGGCCATGAGGCAATTCTGGTAGCTTTCCAACTCTTGCTCCTGCTCTCGCTCCCACTCCCCCCAATCTCGGGCACCAAAATTGGACCTGCACCCCCCTTTACCCCCATCCGCATCGCAACTCGTTGGCGCTAGCCCGCTATTCGTTTATGCCGTGACTACCATGTTTTTTTTTGCGATGCCTTTACAGGCCGACAATCACACCAAACCAAGCTTCTATACCTGTTGCTGTTTTGGTCACCTGTTCATGACTTGGAGCAACTGTGTATACCTACACGTACATACGTATATATTCTACGCATGGGCTCTCGAATGGAGGTCCAACGGACCCTCTCCGGAGAATCGTTGCAATATTTGCTTCGTAAGCCAGGTCTATCCACAACCAGGATGTCCGCACCAACTAATCGTCATGCTTCCAGGTTTGATTGTGGCTCATGTGTTGTATACCAACATGGCCATGAAGGCGTCTTTGGTCCTTGCACTAACCTTCATGTGAAACCAGACAGTAGAACCAACGTGGATTGGCCAACACCTACATGTTTGACTGATTGTTTGCCACCAAGATGCTCTTTCCGAAAAGTCCGCCTAGGATCTCGCGGAACTGTTTTTCAGCCAAGACTAAATTGGACCTGTATGAACTGTGCTCAAAGCGAGGGGACCAACATGGCATCGGTTTCCTTTTGGTTTCCTTTAAACCAATCCCAAGAGAGGTACCCAAAACAGGCACCCACTGCACGCATCGATAAGAGCGGACGGGCCCAAAGGTGCCAGAGCCACCGGTCAGTCAGTCATTCCGCCGCCCATCGCCTGACGGAGCTTGAGCTTTGGCCGGTGGCTGGCCATCTGCGCAAGCTCATGTTTTTGGTTCATATGGGTGTGGCTCAAAACTAAAGAGCTAGGGTTACGCAGGAATTGGTCTTTGGTTCCACTTAGCAAGGTATACCAAGTGTGGCAGTTTGGTACATTGCTTTGAGCCACAGTCATATAAAAGATTATAAAAGTTTAACATGCCCAACAAGCTTGCGTTTGCTTGGGGTAGATTCTCTGCAGATTCACCAACCCCCCAAACCGGCATTGCAGGCACACATACTCTGATTCAAAATAAAAACCAAGCGCGTGTCCTTCTGGGGGAACCCGTTTTGGAAGTCCACGTTAAGCTGCAGAGTAAGCCCAAACTAAAGGTGGCAGATCTAAAAGATTGCTCGATAGCTTGAGTCATAACCTCATGAAACGAATCCGCAGAATCCGAGCACATCAAGAAGCCAAGTTACCCTCGCATGTTGAGTACTTGTTACCGAAAAGTCATGGGAAAATCCAGTCAATCTTGACTGCCATCGGTAGGTGACATGGGGCCCTGCCATGGAAACTCCAGCCTTCAAATCCCCTGGTCTTCTACAGCTATATTTCGAAACTTACATTTTGTCTTTCAAAAGCATTGTATTCGTTTTTTATTCCTTTTGTTTGTCTCTCTCTCTTTTTTGTTAAGAAGAACAAACATAAATGTGTTGTTTTTGTCATGGTTGACATCATATCCCACCCACCTGGATGTTGGGTGCAGGGTTGGACACATGTCCTTACAAAGACATGGGTGTGTCTTCTTGTTCCCTTTAAGTACACAACACAAGGGGTACCCCCCAAAAATCAACTGCACCCACATCCTCGTCTGCCAACAGTGTTCCTTTGGCTCCTATAGGAAGGGTGAGGGCAAACAAACCAACTTTCAACCCCAATGTTGATCTCCAGATCAGGGAAAACAAGGACATGTTTTGGGGACTTTCCACAAAAAGAAGGAAAAGGGCACACATGTCTGCCTTTTTGGGGTTGAGTTTCAAGACCTCCCTTCCGCAAAGCAAGGAAAAAAGGCACAACAGTCTGGGGATCATCTTTTAGGAATGGCTCGCAAAGCTTGATAGGAAAATCAGTTTTGCCGAAGGGTCGGAAAAGAAAACCGGGCGCCCGCAATGCTAGGCGATATCTGTTTGCCTTAAATGGGAAAAATCAGTCATCCTTGCCGGCAACACGTGCAATCAAGGACCAGAAAGTGAAGAATCAACGCAATGTGCCCCAAAAGGGTGATCAGCTCAATATTTAGATAGGCAAGTCCAAGGGGACATCATCACCAAACGGTACCGAACACTTATACACGTATGGCAGTGCTTCCTTTTTTTAAGTGCCCCTTTTTGAAGGGGTTCCCTACAAAACGACACTCCCATAACGTACGCTGAGATAAACATGCAAACTGGTTCGGTCTCTGCGCATCCAATACTTGGTCAAGCCATCTTCATTCTAGCGCTTGTGACAGGTTGGGACTTGATTGCCCGAATAAAGAAGCACTTTCACGCTGTGAATGCCTGAAACATGGGTTCAGTGCCCAGTACACCCTCCCTTCAATCATGAAAGCTGACGATCGGAGGGTTTTGGAAGACTATCTTCCTCGGAAAGCCCCCGATCGTCCTCTTCCATGATTCTTGGATAGGGGTACCACAACCCCAAATCGGTATGAGTCTTAATTGGGGACCACATCATTGTGGGGGTTCTGGTACCCAATCACTTTTGAGGAAAGGAACCCTACTACAAAGTCATGGACCAATTGGTTGGGTTAAGACCCCCGGCTGAATGAAAGAAAAGTTCAACCGGGACCAAGCTTCTCCATGGAGTCTTTTTTCGAACCGCCCTTTCTCTAAGCTCACGCCAGCACGCGAAAGCGCCGCTAAGAGGGCTCAAAGCTCGTTTTCTGAGATTGGCAAAAAAGAAGTCCAAACTTGTTGTTTGACATTAAAATGTCGGGGAGTGAGAAAGGGGGCCGCGGCGTCATTCCATATCACCAACCAGAAACTAGGTTGGTGGACACTCACTGCTCACTTGGGTGTGACTTGTAATTGGGGATGGCTTTGGTGGATATCATTTCGGGGATATTGATGTTCGCCACCATTTGAGAGAGTATTCCTCATCAAAAGTCCTTGCCAAGCTCCATTGCGTGCTTTGCTTTCGCGTGCCTGCGCCTCATCCAACAGACAAGCAGGCGGATAAGTCACTAACAAGGCCGGCGATTGGCAACACCCGACTCAGCAACCGCTGGCTCTGCTTCTTGTGCTGGGTGCTGAACAGGGCGGGGTTTGGACTAACACTTCCTCAAACTAACAGCCAGAAGCTCCCAGAAGGCCTCTGCAAATGGAACCAGGTCTTCCAAAGGGGTGCTGGCAGCTTCCTATGGGCAATTTGGCACCCAGTGTGACACTCATCTAAACAGTAACATCATTCCTTCCTCTGTCCAATGCAAACAAAGCTTGACAAGCGAAGGCGGAAACATTTGTTTCTGCGTGACATCTGGCCAAACAAACATGTAGACGCATGTATATACAGAGAGATATTGTTGACACTCACAGTCAACTCGTCCGACACACGGGTACACACCTCAAGACTTTCCATGGAGTTATCAAAGTGTCCATTTCACCATCATAGGAAGTGTAATATTGAGTGTGAGAGTGTCACTTTTACTGACCCTTGACTAAAGAAGAAATCAACAAAAGGTCCAAGTTTGCCAACTGAACCACTGAACATATTCCTTATTCTGGGGCATTGGAATTTTGGGTGGGCCCAGACTCCAGGTCCTCCCCAAAAAGACAATAGACCAACAAAGTGAAGAGTCAAACCATTGAGCCATCGTAAGGGTTCTCAGGTCGCTGTGTGGGTGGCCTTTCGCTCACGGCTAATCGGCGATTCGGACGGATCAATCGGCTCAGCTTCGGAGTCGCCGTCCGGGTAAATGCGCAGAGTGCGTGCGGGGGATGATGTGTAGCAAAACATGGCATCTCAACTTGTCCACAACCTCCTGGGCCCAACCCCAGTGCACGCCAAAACACGAGTTTTAAAGATTCTGTTGTATGTTCAACCTGGAAATATAATAGCAGATCGGAGGAACCCACAACCCATAGCTGGTTTGTTTCAGGCAAGTTCTCGGGTGCACCAAACGCGACCCACTTGCGCACCGGATCTCCGTCTCAGCCCAGCAAGGAGGTGTCCTGTCAAGCGCCGGAACACAGGGGCAGAGTGCCAGACTTGAGCTTTCCAACTGTTGGTACGGCGGGAAGAAGCATGCTAACCATGAACCGAACCCAAAAACCAAGCGCCCCCCCCCCCCAAAAAAAAACCCTTCAATTTTTGCACTTGGCCAACAACAGCCAAGTGAGGGACGTGTTTTTAAAGACCTAAGAGCCCAATAAATTACACAGAAGACTCTCGTCCCGTTCTTGTTCCGCAACCCCCATTCCAATGATTTGGGCCCTGTGCCAGTCCCAAAGCTCTTGCCGGGCGGGCAACTAGGCGTATGGCTGACCTGGAAAACATCAGACATGCATGCCATGCTGATACAAGCCAAAACCACCATCATCCCTAGAAAGCCATAACGTGCTAACATCCCTTTTTTGGCTTCCTTGTCGAAAAATATAAAATGTCTGATGTTACCACATAATGGTACCCTCCCACCAGCTAACATGGAAGTGCACAGACCCCTGTAGAAAGACTACTTTCCTCTTGGACAGGGCCTTTTTGCACTTCCATGTTAGTTGGTGGGAGGATACGTATCTCCCACATCAGCTTGCATCTGCCCTCACTCCCCCCCACCCCGGCTCCGGCGGCGCCACAATGGTCGTTCTCCGTGTCATCCGCGCAAGGACAGAGGTCGCGTCCTGCAGGTTTCAAGCCATGAGCCCCGAGGTCCTCCAGATTTGAGAGGATAGAAGAAGTTGGTACCACTCCAGTAGAGAGGGTAGAATAATTTGGTACCAGCTTTTTTTAGAATAAGTTGGTACCAACTTTTTCAGGACGTCTATTTTAGTAGGAGAACCCTCCCAACCAAAAAGGGGTGAGAAAGGGCACCTAGCTGGACCTAGGCCTTTTTCAGGGGTCACTGGATTTCCGGGGAGACTTGGGGAAAGAAAGGAGGTGTGGATCCTATGACTAATTCCAAAAAAAAGGCTCTAATAACCTGATTGTAAGAGTTTTCAGCAGGGTTCCTGGTCCCGAGATAAAGTTAGCACACCACCAAGCAGAATCCGTTGTCACACTTTGCTTTGCCCCTGTTGGGGGTGTCCCCCTGTGAGTTCGACTCATATCAGGATTGCTCCCGGCAAAGGAGAAGTCATTTGCGGAGAGCACACAATGGTTGATAAGAACAATATGCCTTCTGGTAGGCCTGTAGGAACCCCCCTTTCAAGTGAAAGGACTTAAATGCTCACTTCCTGAGTGGATTGGCCGTTGCTTCTCAACCCGGCCTTCCCAAAAAGTATCAAGTCCAGGAACTCGGGTGAGAAACACGGGTCGTGTACCCGAGGATATGTACCCCAACTTGCCCAAAACTGGATGCTCCAGGTTTCCTCCATCTCCCGACTTTTTCGTGTTTGGTGGTTTTTCCGGAAGCAGTGGCAGTTTCGATGGAAAACTAGTGCCACCGGTGCCGGAAAGGCAACAAAAACAACGAAAAAGTCGGGAGATGGAGGAAATGCGGGGCATCCACAAATTCATCTCCACTTTTGATACCTAAAGCGTCGATCGGGTAACCGTACGCCAGGTAAGTGGTTAGTAAGCCTGGTTACCCACTGAACGGAGACTTCTAACCATGGCCTTGGTGGTTATAACCAGGCTTACTAAACCTCTTAATCTTGACCCCGGATTCATAAACCCCTGTGTATTAACATGGTGGTGTCCCTGGTTTTAGTGGGGATGCAGCCCCATATTAATAAACAGTGGTCTACTAATCCGGGGTCAACCTTCCCTGACGTACCCCGCCTCGATCGCCCCTCTAACAGGGATCCTTACATTATACACCTGAACATTGCCTTGTAAATGGAGGTTTCCAACTTTATTTCGGTGTTGAAAAAGCCACATGTTTCAAATGGTGGCAAAATGGAGGTCTTTTAAGGAGCCCTGTAGATTGTCACCTGGTTTCCAGGTCTTGTCCTTGGGGCCTTCTGGAACCCCTGTTTAAGCTAGGGGCGCTTTTCCCGGTGCAGCGCTGAAACGCGGGCTTGCGGTTCGCGCCTCGCCCAGGGCCATCTCCACAGATGCGCGGTGCAAGGTTTTCATGTCCTCCTGCAAAGCGGATCGAGTGGCCCAAACCAGGTTTGCGAGGTTAGAATAAGTTGGTACCACTCCAGTAGAGAGGTTAGAATAAGTTGGTACCCGATTTTTTTTTCTGTAGTGCATTTTAGTAGAATAAGGGTACCAACTGGTTTTCCTGTGTTGTCTATTTTAGTAGGGAACCCTCCCAACAAAAAAAATGGTAAAAGAAAGGGCACCCAGCTGGGGGACCTAGGGATGGACAACGAGAAGATGCCACAGGGGAGCTGGTGCTGGGGACCAGAAAGCTCCAGCGGATCTGCATGGGAACCAGAGCTTGAATGGGGGTCCCAACTCAGTCCCTGCCGGGCCCCGTTGGATGGTACCACAAAGTACCCTTTGTGGTAGGTTGAAGGGAAACACAAACACACACACACACACCATCTGTTGACTTTGATAGCCCCCAAGCACAGAATCAAAAGACTTGCTGGTGCTCAGCAGGTAGGGAATGACCGAGTCTGGGTGTTGGGCATGAACCGTTTTGGGGATTCCCGAATATACAGGAACCCACAAAGGATGCTTTATAGGGAACATGTTTTCAGGGACCCTGCTGAGAACCAGCGAGTTCTCGCCACGTGGCGTACGAGACTCAGTGGCCGGAAGCCACTGCTACAACTAAAATCAGAAGCGGCTGGTTGAACAGAGTGGGCAAGGACTCAACCAGAACAAAGGGAACAATGTTGACCCTGGATGAATAAACCCATCCTCTCCTCCAATAGTAGTGAATTCCCTCTTTCAAAGGGGACACCTCCGAGCGATGGATGGATCCCCCCCTTTGACTTGGTTTGACGCCCCAAGCAAAATCATGTTGCGACCAAAGCGCACACGGGGACCTTGCAAATGGGATTCTGGGCTTGTCTCAGATGGAACCCCTGAACTGAAACTGTCCCGCCAACCACTAAACCACTGAACCACCAAATGGCCGCCTGAAAAATGGTGCATCCTACAAGTGTGGATACTCCAAGCCTGAGCTTCTCTGATTCCAATTTCATGTTTACCCCAAGTCTGCCCTCCCAATCCTGAAAGCCAGCAGCTTTGCGGAAAACTACTTGAACCTCTGCTTTGCTTTGGGGGAGGCCCCTTGCTACGATGAGAACCAAAGTTTGGGTACTTCCCAGGAGCCCCCGATAAGACTCGAAGTCGGAGCTTGGTGGTGGGGCTTGTGGGTTTCCGATTTTCCCTCCAAGGACCAGAGGTTCAAATCCCCAACCCAAACCATCAAGGCTCGGCGGCGAAATCTGCTCCCCGGCTAAAAGTGAAGAACTTGTTAGTGGTTTAATACGGACAACCCATTAGTTGGCAACAAAAATAAAGTCCTAACATCCCTTGGCAAAATGCACCAAAGTAAGGCTTACTCGAGTCAAGGCTAAGATCGTGCCGGAGACTGTCGGAGACCCCGATCTGACTCGCCACGCCTCGCTCACGGCGAAGCTCTTTCGCTGCTCCCGCATCTCCTTGCCCAGCCTCAGTGACGCGAGCGGCGAGTGGATCGCAACGGTGTCACATGGCTATGGGTCAAAACCCCGTACCCCCAGTGAACATCCCAATCCCCACTAAAACAGACTAGAATGGGTGGTGCAATGTGGTGCACCTACCCCAAAAATGGTACCATTGGTTTTGACCCACGTTCAAATTTACATGTGGGGAACCCACAAAAAGGTGGCGTTCCTTTTGCTTCCATTTAAAACCATCCCAAAAAGGATACCCTGCAACAAAAGACACACCTGCATAGGAGCGAATTACTATTCACAAACAGCAACTAAGGAATCCCAAGGAAAGTTTCTGGGTGAGCTCGTTTCACCAGGAGAGCTCATTGTAATTTACCAAAATGGCTTGGCTGGCAGAGCTACAGAAAAAGGTTGAAAACCCATACCTGGTCCAGTTGCTGAGCGGATTGGCCACAAAGAGTCCACAGATGTCGAAAGATTTGGCCCGCCAATGGCCTTGCAAGTAAGATCAAGTAAGTATAGGCGACGGAGCACAGCTGGAGAATTTCCAGCTGGCTTCTCTTCCTGCATTGTCCGTTGGCCTCCAGGCAAACATGACTCTCCCTCAAACCTGACTGGCTCTTGGATACCCCTCCGGCTCCCCGGCTCCCGAACCCCTGGCTTCTCATATCAAAGTCCCTGCAACCAGTTGATTCCTCCAAACATCCAAACAGGACTTGCGTGCAAGCTCCCGGAACCCTTGAGACTTAGGTCCAAGTGGCCGTCTGGAGGCTCCCATGTTAGCTGAAGGGTAAGATTGTTCTTTGGGTGGACTTAGCACAAACATGCTGAGAAAGGGTGTTCCTGGTGTTTTTTTCATTGGGACCCTTTAGTGGACACCGTTTCGATAAAAACTTGTATGTCACCAACCGTTTTTAAGCGTGTTCCAAAAAACCTGTTAAAAAAAGAGGAAACAAAAAGAAAAAATAAATCCCACCAACCGTTCTTAAGGGCGTTCCCCAATAAAACTCATTTCCACCAACCGCTTTTAAGCCAATAAAGCTCATTGCCTTGCCCATTGGGCCAACGTTCAAAGTGGTCGAACCTCGTTGGGGAAAGCGCAAACCGCGGACCTGCGGCAACCTAAGGTGCGGCTTGCGGATCGTCTTTGACTAGGCCGGGTAAGAAAGAGGGCCAACACAAATCCCGACTTCTCACTTGCCCAGTGAAAGGACCAGGACATAAAATGTGATCACCCTTTGGGCACCTCTAAAAATGAACCAAAATGGCAAACCCGAAAGGTCAAAAGGTCGGCTTGGGCAAGTGAGACTTGGATGTTTGGCCAAATTGGCAAGTCAGTAACCCAAGTCTCGCTTGAGTGAAAAGACCGTGTTTGTTTTTATCTCCCACTAAACCGGTCTTCCCAAAATGTTTAAAGTCCAGGAACTCAGGGAGTGAGAAGTCATAAGCCGCTTATAATTTATAAGTCCCCTTAAGTGGAGTTAGTTGACCTTGTTGTTAGCGGGCTATAACCTAGGTGACCAACCACTGGCTAACTTGGCGAATCGGAGTGTCGTCAAATCCGATTTTCCATGATCCCTATTGAAAAGCCAACACACAAAGGGATCCCGTTTGGAACCTACGGTACTCATTAAGGTTTGCCTTTCAAAGTCAGCATAATTTCCCAAGTGGCAACAATCCAAGATGCTTCCCCAAAATCATAAAAGTTGACACTGGCGCAATTGGACACAACTCTCCTGCAACCCAACCTCCAAATGAGGGGACCCTCCAATTGGCTGGCTTCACGTTGGCTCTCCTTTAGAACCCCCAAACACCCATGTCGTTCCTCTTGAAGAAACATCCGACACACACACACACACACCCGGCACCCACTCTTTGAAACTAGCAGCTGCTTGTAGATGAACTGGTGTACCTTCATCGCGAACGAGGTCATCTCCTGTCGGTTGACACGGATGCCCGGAATCAGTACCATCAAACCATACCCCAACCATAAAACCGCGACAAATCAGGGCAAATTGATGGGTAGGTGTGAGAGCAGGGATCTGGATCCCAAAAATGGACTTCGGCTACCCTTTAGACCATTGAAGGGGGTGAGCCGGAAACACTGTCGATTTGGCAGGAAGACGGCCTTTTCCGCCAAAATTGCCAAAAAGACTAACAACAATTTTGCCATGTGGTGTCCCCGAAACATGGGTTTGTTCAACTAAGTGGCCTTGAAAGGACAATTGTATTGGCCCCGATTGGACGTGATGAAATGGCTTCCCGCTCCCCAAACCCCTACCCAAAACATGTGGCATACAACCGCAAAACAGTCATAACATACAGTAGCGATTCTTGCCTTTGACAGGAATCTTTACGGGCGGGAGCAAAGCCAAACCTAAACGCGGGGTCACTATGGTTTGCCTGGATCCACCTCAGCTGTTGCACTCAGCAGAAAATAAATCTATGTTGAAGATCCTGGGCCATGTTGATTGGACCCTTATTCAATCCTCAACACAAACACACATTCTAGATTGTGGGCCATATTTATTGAACCTTGATATGTGCAATAATGCCAAAAGACATCCAAAGCACTCGCCTAAAGGACCTGGAAACAACCAGCGATCAGCTTTGAGGACCTAGACCAAGATCAGGAAATGGAAAAGAAGGCGATTCGTTTTGCAGAGCTGAGATGAATGCCCTCCCCCCCACCCCACAGACATGGAAGTGCAAAGGCACCCGGGTCTGTGCCATGGTTTTTTGGAAAAGTAGATGGCCCTGGCAAGGAATAAACCATGTAAACCAGGGCCCTCTATTTCTTAAGCAAGCCAACCAAAAAGGACACCTATGGTCTGTGAACTGTCATGTTTGTTTGTGCAAGGGTGCATGACAAGGACCAGGTAACGACTTCACACAGTCCAACTAGTCCAACTAGACTCCTTTCGAATGGTGTGCCGGGATGATGGAATCCCCCTTTCGTCTATAATGCTTGCGCGTGGGTGAAAAGCAAATGTTCTACATGATCAACTTGTTTGCTTTTCTAGGAGCCCTGCAAAAGGCTTTAGTCCCAATTCGACCACGTAGTAGACAAAATCACACATTTCGGGCGCTGCTGAAATCTGCTGAAAATTTGGGTATCTCTTGAAAAGTCTAAGGCCACTGGGAAATGACCCCATTTAGGCATATTTCCGGGATAAAATCATGCTATGTTGGACCATTTTGGGCCGTTTCTCAAGGGTGTAATCCCAGGGTGTAATACAACAACCCTTAGAAAAAGCTGAAATTTTCTAAACATGTGGCTGCGGCTCAAAAAACCAGTACCAAAATGGAACCCTGGTAAGTGGAAACATGGACCACAACCTGCGGTTTGCCCCTCCTGTTTAATTTTGAGCCACACCCATGTGGGTAGGGTCAAAATTTATCCACCTGGGGACCGCAGGTTTCAGTCCATGTTTCCACTTAATTACCAGAGCAACCCATTTTGGGTACCCATTTTTGACCCCACAGCCATGTGGGGCTAAGCGTTCCTCCACGTTCAGGCCCTCATCCGTCGCCGTGTAGTCGTACCCGGAATTCTCCGTCTTCACCTGGCGCTGCCGCGAATGCCCGCGCTCCTTCCTATGCCAAGCCACTTTCTGTTCAAGGGATGTTGGAAAAAGGGGATTTCCTAAGGTAAATGCCTCCTTTTCCAGTGTCTTGGTTGCTTGTGAAGTATGTTTGAACAACCAAGCGTTCCAAGGCACAGACCTCCTGTTCTATTGAAGGTCTGTTTTTGTTTGTTTCTATTGACGAAGGTGGGGGCTGACATCAAAATCAAGTGGCTTGCTCTTGAGTGGGGTCCTTGGGATCCTGTTAATGCTTGTCGCCAACATCAAGCCATGCATTTGGAAGGATATGAGTTCTAATCTCACAGGGATGGCCAAAGGAAGCCACGGGCTCAGGAGGTCCCCACTGAGTTTAGCTAAACCTCCTTGTGGAGTGGCCGGCGCCGCCGATTAGGCACACATAGCCATGGATCATTCTTTGGACCCTGATCCCCACAAGGATTCAGTCGCTGATGTTCTGCTTCCCCTGCAGTCGTTCGGTCTGTGTACGGCCAATGCACGCAACATGCTAAACCTGAGTGAGCTCGCCGGTTTCCATCAGTGCGCCATTGGACTCGGCCATGTTGATGTGCAAGTCTGGGATCCACCCATGCCGGCCCAATCCACCTGTGAGGGATTCGGACCAAACGCGATTCGTGCCCTGTTGGTCCATTCAGGAATCGATGGCTGGAGTGTGCACCGGGGGTTCGAAGGTTCTTGGATTGACCGCATTTTCTGGACGCCTCTTTTGCTTTGTGATCACTGGTGTTGGGCTGCGCTCGACTCACAAGGTGCATGTCAGATTTGGCACGCTGGACCACCTGGCCATGCCAATGAATTCACTTCTCAGCTAGAACGGTTTAGTCTGCCGCTAAGCATTGAGCATGCCTGTGACATCCAGGAGCTGCCTGGGCAATGTGGGCCAAGTTTGCCAACAGTTCTCAAAATAGCGCAAGGTCACCTGTTCAGCCTTGAGGAAGTACGATCAAGCATTGCCGCCGCCACTGAGTTCTGCCACAGCTTCGCCTGCGACAACCCGCCTGAAGCAACCCTTGGCAGAGGGCTTCCCGCAAAGTTCTCGAGGGAACTGCAGGACCTTCTTCTTGCCAAAGGTGTCCCAGCCCAAGCAGTCGGTGACCGAATAGCAGGTTTGCTCAGAAGTGCCTCTCAGCAACAAGTTGAAACCGCCCTCAAGCAAGCCACAGCCAAGCAGAAGTGGTCCCACCTTTGTGAAGCTGCTGGACCAGGATTCAGGCTAGTCACCACTGACGAGGCCAAGATGTTCAAACGGTCCAAGGCCACACCCGCCTTGCCCGGAAGTGACATCGATCCCTTGCAGCACAACGACCCCTGGTCCAAAGAACCAGTTGGAAAGGGAGGTTCTCGCTCCTCTGCGCAATCGGGTGAGACCAATGCACTCCGAGGTCTTGAGATTGATAACCTCACACCTCAGGCCGATGTTTTTGTGACCGAGCAAGGTGCCCCGCTTGATTTCCTGTCATTGCAGCATGTGATTTCGGACTCCAGTGGAGTGTGCATTGTGTCGCTCAAGCAAGCTCAGCCTTTTCTCCAGTGTGCCAAGAAACTATCGGCCTACCCCCTTGGGCTTTTTGTGCTTGAGTCGCCTTCGCAGATCAGCACTGGTTTCGAGTCTACCACCTGCAGCCTTCCTGCCAAAACCAAGGATGGTGCCAATATCATTCTCCTTGGCACGCTTGTCCAGATTGGAGACGCTAAGGTGATCAGGTTCACTCCGCCAGATGCCTGCAAGGTTATGCCGCCATCAAGTAGTGCCTTCAAGGTCACAGCCCACCGTGTGCATTTCACCAGCCAGGAATGGAGCGACTTTTCGGCGCATCCGGTTACCAAAATCCCAACGCTTGCGGCCGACAGCAAGAAGTTGATTGACTACTGGGGTCATCGCCACACGAGCAATCAGTACAGTTTCAAGATTAGGGTGAACGAATCAGTCAGTGCGCAAGTCAGACGAGACTCTGGCAGCATGCTCATCTTTCTTGATGACCTGCCTGATGAAGTTGGTCAGAAACACAACTGGGTCGTTGTTTGGCTCCCTGACCACACACTGGATCAGATCAAAGCTAAGGCCCAGATGCACTCCACTTCCAGTGGCATTGTTGTCAAGAACCCAGGGCCGGCTCAGATCTTTGGTCTCCGTGTTCTTGCAAAGCATGCCGTAGAGCTTCGACTTGGGGTTGATCCGAAAGCTGCCAAGAATGATGGATACGTCCCCATAGGTAGGCACTTCATTCTTCAGCCACTGCCTGCAGGATGTGACCAGGAAACGATTGCGCAGATCCTTGCCTCAGTCAAATGGAATGCCAGACCATTGAAACCTGCTGGACGCCACTCGTACCGGGTCGGGTCCTCTGAGGATCCACCATGTGACCGCATCCAGCACGTCATAGGCGATATCCTCATTGAAGAGGTGCCCAAGCCAGGTGAGAAGCGTAGGAACCCTCAGTCAAGTGGGCAGGTTTTTGTTCACTCCGCATCCGCTGTCACCAATCCCACTAGCGCCAATCCAGCAGCAGCAGTGCCTCGCATCAGTGATGTTGAGGAGAGATTTGCCACCCGGCTTGCCGAAGTTGAGAAACGTCTTGAGGCCAAAGTCGACACTCTGTCTCAGGGCTTCAGCTCATCCATCCAGGGGCAGAAGACCGAGATCGCTGCTGTTCGACATGAGGTCCAAGTCACCCAGCAGGAAGTTGCCAAACTTCATGCCGGAAATGCAGACATCAGCAGCAACTTGCAGAGACTTGCCGCCGCATTTGAGGCCCAGTCAAAGCAGCTCAGTGAGCTAATCAGTGCCGCATCCTCCGAGCACGTGCACAAGGTCCGGGTTACCAAACCCGAGACCTGACGGTGGCAACACGACCTGGGCGAGTTTGGCGTTGTCCGGGCTCGTGTCCACATTGTAGTTGCCATCTTTTGGTTTATGTGTTCACCTCCACACTTGCAACCGGATCTGATTTGCAAGCTTGATCCGCGGAAAAAAGCATGCCATCTTTCAGAGGAAAGCTGGCAGGGGCTTTATCCTGGTAGTGATCTCTCTTGTGCTGATCTTGAGTTGTGGGTTTTCATCCATATGGCTAATAATGCCACTTTTTGCCGGGCTCCTGCTCAACATTTCCCTTTTTGCATTTCCATCACCATGACCGAACCATTCGTAAGCCAGCAGTGCCAGTGTCGAGCACCGCTTGACATTAGTGTCCTTTGCACTTCATGCCATTCTTCACATGCGGCGGTACTCCAAAGGACCCGCAACAAGTGCATGCATAGCGTGAACGGAAATATTGGGTGGATTCGTGTTGCCAATCCCACTTCGCTTCATTGCAACCTCGATGAGGTCCTGGCACTAGGGAAAGGATGTACCTGCCTAGCTGAAACCTCGCACACGGAAAGCAAAGCCAGAGCCATCGACTCCAAAGCCCGAGCGGCTGGATTTTTCAGTGTGTTAGGACCACCAGTCCCTATGGTGCAAGGTGAGCAACGCCTCTCACCCATGCATGCGGGAGTTGGCACTATCAGCACTTATCCGATCTGGCCAACCCCTGGAGTACCAGGCTGGGCTAACTCTCATCGAACCCTTGATGTAATGATACAACCCTGCAGTCAGCTGCAAATTCGGGTCGTCACTTTCTATGGTCTCGCAGCCACGGAAACCAATCCGCAAGCTAGACAAATTAACAATCGTCTCCTTGAAAGCCTGTTGGAAAGCTGGTCCCTCTTCAATGGCCCCATGATTCTCGCGGGTGATTTCAACATGGATTTGTCGGCTGAACCCATTGGCAGCAAACTCCAACGAGCTGGATGGACAGATTGCGCACAGCACTTCGCCATCAGTAAAGGCTCTGAAGCTCCGAAAACATATAAGTGCCAGACGAGGATTGACCAAATCTGGGCAAATCACTCAGCGCTCACCTTTGTCTCAGGAGTCAACACCGTTGTGGACGCCCCGCTGCATGGGCACGCGCCTGTGGAGTGTGTCTTTGAGTGGCCGACCACACCAATCCCTGCAATGGTTTGGCCAAGTGGCCCCAGTCTTGTGCAGTGTGACACGCATGTTGATATGGACTACCCTTGGAATTTCACCCCAGAGGTCAGACCAGACAATGGGGCCTCGCTAGACTCCCGGTTTCAGCGTTGGAGTGCCGCGGCCGAAAAGTGGCTCGGCGGTGCGGTTGGAGCGGCTCGACCAGATCGCCCCAAAAAAGCTGTGCACAGCACCACGCACCCTAAGCCAATTACCCCTATTTCGCTGCCGCCTGAGAGACTAGGAGAAATTGACGCAGTTGTAAACTTTTCATGGCACAAAAAACTTGTCGCCCAACATCGTCGACTGCACGCTTGGGACCGCCTAGCGCATGCGCGGTCAACGCGTGTACTATCATTGGAGGAACATCTCCAATGGATACGCCTGGACAAACGTGTTCGCGCTTGGCCAGGCAAGGGGGTTTGCTTCACGACATGGATGTCGAAACATGATCCCTGCTTGGATTACAGCTCTCTGCTCCACGGACCCCTCAGCTCACCTGAGCGGGCTCTCCTTAAGCAGAGATTTCTTGATCTTAGCAAAAAAGAAATTTATGCTGAAATTAACCTGCAGCGCAAAACTGTCACCGAAAAGTTCAACAAGGACTGGAATGAAGGAGGGCGGCTCTCCTTCCAAGCCGTCAAGCCACCACGGATCCCACCGGTCCTAGCCCTATCACAGGGAGACCACTGGGTGGCAGAACCAAACGCGCTAGCGGAACTGCTTATCCAGCCATGGGAGAGTATCTGGAACCGGCATAGCCAAGTTCCTCCTGCGGCATGGAACACTGCCCTTGATCTTGTGCTTCCACACCTCCCCACTGTGCCCTTCGCACCAGGTCCAATAACATGGATTGAATGGAAAAAAGCAGTCCGGCGCCTTGGCTCATATACTGCTCCAGGTCTCTGTGGATGGCGGGGCCAGGAGCTTCGCATGCTGCCAGAGAGAGTCGTTGCTCCGATGCTCAAACTCTTCAACGAGGCTGAACAGGCAGGCGAGGGCTTACCCCAGCATCTCCTGTACGCGTCAGTCGCCATGATTGCCAAGTGCTTGAACCCACAAAGTGCTGGAGACTGTCGTCCCATCACTGTCCTTTCTTGCATCTATAGAGCTTGGACATCCGCCAGAGCTGCTTCGCTACAGTCATGGCTCGTCCAGGTAATGCCAGCCAGCATGCGGGGATTCCTCTCAAAGCGTCACCTTGAAGATTTCCTGTACAAACTAGGACTCGATATTGAAGCTGCTCAACAAGGGCTCACCGGACCCCTTTTAGGCATGTCCCTCGACATAACCAAGGCTTTCAATTACATCCCACGCCCTGCCGCGTTCGCCATACTCAACCGGCTTGGCCTTGCACCATGGCTTACGGCATCGTGGGGCCAGAACCTTGCAAGATTAGAAAGGCGGGCCAAAGTCGCTGGCACGTTTAGTCGGGCCGTCAAATCTTGTACGGGTTTCCCAGAGGGGTGTCCATTGTCCCCAGTTGCGATGCTTGCAGTAGGGGCGGTTTGGCATCAGGTGACCAGCCTTCCATCACCTTCGCTGACCATTGATAGCTTTGCTGATAACTTCAACCTCAGCTGCCCAAGTCTCGAGGTACTCCTGCCTGGTCTTGAGTTAGGAATCCAGTTGCTCACCGCACTGGACTTGCACATCAATGCGGCCAAATGTGTAATCTGGACCACCGACAAGTCTCTCAGACCTCAGCTAGACCAGTTTGAGTTCAGTCTTGGTAAACCTACGCACGTTCTTGACGTCCGGGAGCTAGGAGGTCACTTCAGCTTCACCTATGCCACCCGCAATCGGACGGTCAAGCAGCGAATTCAGCAGGCCACTGCTGCTCTTGAGAGGATCCAAAAACTCCCCGCTCCGTTTGCCCGTAAAGTTGGGCTTGTCAGGCGTGCAGCTTTGCCTAAAGCCACCTGGGGGACCCAAATTTCCCGACTGGGGCTGAAAAGGATTGAAAGCCTCACCGCAGCTGCCAAGAATGCTGTAGGTCTCGGCCATGCAGGGGCCTCGCCCTACGTCTGCCTTGCAGTTGTAGTTGACGAAGCCACACACCCTGCGTTTGTCATACATAGGAACCGCATCCAGGCGTTCTGGAGATGGCTACGTAGCCATGATAGAGACAAACATGACTTGGGGCTGCTCTGGCAGGCTTACCAGGTTCGTGAAGTTGACGGGCCTGTTAGTCTTCTTGGTGAATCTCTTGACGCGTGTGACCTTGATCTAGATGAGCACCTTCAGTTACTCGCAGACCATGGTACGCTAGATCTCAGCACTGCGCCCTGGAGAGCGGTTTACCTTCTCATTGTCCGCGGTTTCCATAAAGCAGAAGGCCGGAACCTTGCCCACCGAAGAATACTAGGTCAAGTAGGCTTAATCAATGTCGATCTTTTCCGGTCTGGGCTTAAAGGTTTGAGTGAGGAACATCAGGGGCTTGTCCGAGTTGCGGCTACAGGGGCGCGTTTTGAACATGCCGAGATCGCTCGTTTCTCGGACAAGTTCGACGAGATGTGCCGACTTTGTGGCGAGCTAGACACACGCTCCCATAGGCTGACCAGCTGCCCGGCAACCGAGCATGTGCGGGAAAGACACCGTGAAGTCCTTGAAAAATGGGATTCCTTCCCTGAACCCTTGAAACTTCACCTGTTACCTTCCGAGGCCCCCTTCCGAGGTGAGTTTCTCAGTAGGCTTGGCTCTGTTCCACCACCAGACATTGTGCGCCGGCCTCCTGGTCCTAAAACTATTTGGTTTACCGATGCCAGTGGAAAAAATCCTGCTTCAAGGTTTTCTCTTGTCTCATTTGCGGGAGTGTGTATTGACCCCGACACTAGTCAGGTCACCAGCAGCTTCCAAGGGATTTTACCAGGGATCCTGCAAAGTGTTGATCGAGGCGAGATACTTGCCATCATAGGCACACTGCAGCGTGTCCATCACTGCGACATTTACACCGATTCCAAATACGCAGCGGACTTCTTCAACCTCCTGTTAGCCCAAGGTTGGCAGGAAGAATTCAAGGTTCGTCCAAATGCAGACCTCCTCACACTTGGTGCCACGGCCCTTGGCACGCGAACATCGAATGAGGTCCGCATTCAATGGGTAAAAGCTCACCGGTCCATACACACCGCCATTTCTGGAGCCGATGCTTTCCGGATCCGGGGCAACGCTTTAGCAGATGCCGAAGCGAATGAAGCGTACGACTTGTGGGATAGTCACACCCGTGATTTAGCTGTCCAAGGCATAAAAACAGACCAACGAGCACTGAAGGATTGGCATCAGCTTGCCGCCCTTCACATCCAGGTTGCAAAAATCTTTGCCCAAAAAGTTGCACCTTCCCGGCGTGAAGCAATGCCACAGCAAGGACCACCTGCCACGATTGGGCAGCTACGTTTTGTTACTTGTGGGAACATCCCAGCTTTCCGAACTATCTTCCCTGCAGACTTCTTGTGGCACTTTTGCGTCTTTATTGCACACTTGCAATGGCATGATCAGCAGGCGCAGCATGGAAGTGGTACGCCCCTTGTTCTACTTTGCTTGCTTTTCTACCTCCAGACCGGTTGCACGATGCCGATACGGGATCGTACTACTTGGCATTGGCGCACACGCTCAGACCAGAGCATCCGCCGACAGGCCTGCACGCTCCTCATAGTTTTGCATACTCTTAGTGAAACTCTTGGCCGCGAAATAGTCCCAGGGTTGAGATCTTTCTTTAAAAAGGTTCGCCCGGTCCATCCACTTGATGACGAGATCAAGTGGGCCATTGTTCCTTACCATCTTGAAAAATCCTGCTTTGACAAAGCCTTGACACTCGCTTGTGAGCTGCACGCAAAGCAGCTACTTTGGACTGCTAAAGGCCTGCCGGCCAGGCAAGTCACCCTTTCAGGACACTTTGCACCAGCCAAACCTGAGGTTCCCATCCTTAGGCCAGATTTTTGCGACGCTGAATGGTGTCAGACTGCGGCACCGCCGCCTCGAGAGGCCCTGGTGCGTGCCTTTTTCCGGGGCGGTGGGCGTTGATGGTTTTTTCGGCTCGGGGTTTTGGTTTTTGGGGGTTGCCTTCCGGGTCCCCCCTGTTCCCCTTTTTTGCGCTCGGCCACCGCTTTCGCGGGAATCCCTGTACACTCTTGTACACCTGCTTCATCTAAGCTCCGGCGATTCGCCGCGTAGCGATGTAGCTTGAATCCACTGTGTTGCGGCAATAAGCCCAACACCAGCGAGGACGGAGGGATGGCCAAAGGACATGGTGATTGCCTTTCAGGACCTTGACGAACAATGGACCAAACGGGGCGATTTGCCTAAGGCCAAAAGGTCGAGAACCGCTTTGGGCTGAGATTCCAACCAGGTTTGTATCAGGAGACTTCATCATTTCCGGGTGTCCTTTCAGTTCGTGCGGGCCTCTGCCGTGCGTTTTTTCGGCAAAAGCCGCGAAATGGCGAAACGATGACAGTGGATGTCCATTGGAAGAACAGGGCGGGCACTTCTTGTTGGCAGTTGATTTCTAACTTCCTGAGTGGATCCAAACTGCGTGTTTATCACCAAATTGGTCGTCCCAACAAGTGCAAAGTCCATAAACTCAGTGATCTTTGACGGGGGCCCCCCTCCCTTAAAAAGACACTGGAAACGACTGGGACAAACGTCCCCTGAGCAAAAACAGCAAACGTGCAGGTTGAATTCGGAACATCCGGGCGTAGGTTCCACCAAAAACCAGCCATGCGCAATGCTCCCTTGAATTCTTCTCCAACGCCTCCAGGCGCTTCACCCTTTTCGCCCCGCCATGCATTTACGACTGCCTCTAACCTTCACTTGCCAGGGTTTTCATTGTGGCTTTGGCGCAAGTGGGTTATAATCATTAAGGGCCTAATTAACTTGTTGGCATGGGCTTGGTTGGTCCTTGAAAACCAAAGTAAGACTTGCTCTGGCGGCTTTTTCCTTCAGCACAAACAGCAAAACCTCTCGAGTAACTCGACACTTGCTTGGGTATGTGTCAAAATAGGGAACCCAACAAGTTGCTCTCCTTTCGGTTCCCCTTGTAACCGACCCGGAAAAGAGTATACCCTCAAAAACCACTCACACACACACAAACAGGTGTGCCGTTTGGAGTTGGTCAAGCCAACCCCGAAAAGGGTCCTGGGCTGCCCTCCGATCCCCCACTAAAAGATTAACCTTTAATGGGTTAAATGGAAACTACCACTAAACACCAAAACCTTAAAAGGCTTCGGAACCGGATGGCGAGCCCCGAAATGGGCACCCCGCGCCTCACGGAAAAGAAAAAAGGGCACAGCGGGCACGCGCCTGGGAGTAGAGGCTGTGGAACGCGGCCTTCGCGATCTTCGGCGGCGGCTGCTTGTGAAGCCAAAAGAACTCCTAGCGCCGCGATGCCACGGCGTCGGACGACCAGCTGGGCGGGGGAGGGGAGGTGCAAAGTTCGCAAGTCGTTGGTTCAGTGGAGTTCACGGAGTTCACCCCGGTGGCTGTGGCTCAAAAAACCAGTACCAAAATGGAACCCAGGTAAGTGGAAACATGGACCACAACCTGCGTAACCCCTCCTGTTTAATTTTGAGCCACACCCCGGTATTAGCAGGTTAACCACTTAGGGAACACCCAAGACAAGGTAGACTCTAAGAGGTTCCAAGTTGTGTGCTCAAGAAGAGTCAAATTATTTAAAGAGCCAACTTTTAGCGGGGTAACACTTTGTTGTCAACTCCGCACAGAAAGCACTGGTCAATTTGTAGCACCGCGGATTCGCACCGTTCCGGGAACTGTGTCTTGTTAACCATCCTTCCAATCAAGTCTTCTCTGCCTAGTGTCACTGATTCAAGGCCATAGCAAGGGAAGCCATAGGAGGATAACCACCCCGTCACGGTCCTTAACTTGGGTGCCGTAGAGCAAAAGGTTTGACTTTTTGCTGGTTAAAAGGAAATATGAGGGGAATCCAAAAAGTTAAAGTCTAAAGATCCAACTCAACAGCAGTAGAGTTTATAGCCCCAACAGTCACTATAATGGTTCCCTTTAGGCTGCAATAGCTTCCCTTGTGGTTCTGAATCAGAATACGGGTGTCCCTTTTGTTCGGGGACCCCAAAGATGAGGCTCTCCTGTTGGGTTTTCCTTTGAACCCAGAAGGCACCGTTTCCAAACAAAAAATGCCAAAAAAAAACACACGCCTTGTCTAAACTCAAAGGGAAGCCAACTTAAGCTGACATGGCTGAAACTCTTGTGCAAATAGGATGCTGACTTTGGAATGACTCCGACATGAGTCAGAGGTTCATGGCCGGTCAAATGCAGGGTTTGAACAGTTCCAACTTTCATAGTTCACCCATCTGCCTCCAAACAAAGAGGACGAATCAAAGTTCGAATGGTCGGTCTTGCACAATTCAGACTTGGTGTGTGATTCGAGTTGTGCTTACCAAGCCCCCGAAAAAGGTGTGTATAACCACTCTATAACAACTGGATCGGAAATGAACAGATGAATAAATAAAATAATTCAATAAACAAGAAATAAGTAAACTAAAAAAATCCTAACGAACCATATCAATTAAACAAGTGCATATATATATATATTTTAATGTACCCTTCTTAGCATACACATAGATGCAAATCCAAATGAGGCCTGGGCTTCGTTGGAATCACTCCCTGACCACCGGACTTAGAGACTCGGCTCCCAGTAGAAAAACATTTCCCTAAGCTCACTTTGACTCGGCCCATTAAAGGGCAACATCCTGAAAACTGCCGGAAGGAAATGAAGGTTCAAACGGATCCCAAAAGCACTGTTGCGGATCACTCAAAATGCAACCACTTTCGGTACCCAGTTTAAGTTGGCAACTGGGTAGAGGGACCCCACAAAAACTTGAGTCACAATCAAATTATGTTAATGAGAATGGGTGAACTAGGGTCAATGCACGTAAACTCTGTTAACCTTCAATTTGCTTAGGTACCCGGGGAACAGCAACATATTTCCAGTGAACATAAAATCCCTTGACGACCGATACGGGAACATTTCTGAAACGCAAATGGAAGTAATGCCAGGCCTACTGCATGAAAAACATCGCCCCTACCAACCAAAAAAAAGCTTGCCTCAAATGGGCAAAGGTGGATATTTCACCCGCCAACCAAAAAACTCGCCTCAAATGACCAAAATGTTTGTTTCACCAAAAAGGGACCTGTTTAGAAGGAAGCTCGCCATTGTCGGGCCTTACGTAGTTTGGCAACATCATCAACGCTCAGCGGCTGCGCTCCCTCATCTAATGCGTTCGGCTGTTGGCAACTGGCACTTCAGCATCAGGAATGTTCATGATTGCCTCCACGTGCGGCTGCCCAGCGGACGCGCGGTCAATGCGGCCTCTGGGGTTCAATCCGAAATTTGTGATAGTCGCCCAACACATTGTTGAGGATGCTGTTTCTTTGCGCAGCAGTAGCTCTGCGGGCAGCTTTCAGAGCGCCCCAGCCATCCCGGAAAACTTATTGGTTGACGTTGGACGGGGAGCAACAAATTAAATGTTAGCAGCTAAGTGGGGATTTCCCACTAAACCACAACAATTCAGCAAACAGGTAAAATGCTTCCCAACAACAACCATGAACAGGGAAACCAACATGAAAGCCCACCCATTTTGGGGGGAAGTCCAAAAATCAAAAGCTTGGGTTACAGGAACTTAACCAACAAGCTACTTGACATCTCGGTTGCTTTCTGCTCCCCTGCTTTTTTTAATGTTTAGTGGTTTAGTGGCAAACCCATTTGTTGGCAAAAAGTTAAAGTCCTAACAGCCTTTGGCAAAATGCACCAAAGACATGGTTCATGCAAATGGCCAACTTGATTGACTTGACACGCGACCGACTTCATCCGTCCTCCAAGAAGGCGATGGCCTCGCCGGAGCTCCACTCGATGCGGTTGGTGCCGTTCTGGCGGAAAAAAATCTCGGACGGAGCCGTGAGCGCCCGCGTCGCCGGAGAGGCTTGCTTTCAACATAGAAATATATATATATATATGTGTATGGAGAACTCCAAGGAAAACCACCATTTCAACATATAAACCACCATTTCAACATAGATATGCTCAGAGGGTTTACAGGCCCAAATGATTCAGGTAGAACCACCTACTAAAATGGCCAATGAGGGTGGTCAAATAATTGAACGGGGGTCGGGGGTGTGGGGCACTAAATCACTAAACAAAAGATAAGACTCGATGTAGATAGTTTACCCCCTTGCACTAGGGTTCCAACTATAACAATCACATACCCAATCAGTAAGTACAGTTCGCACACAAGAAAACTCAACCAGAAAATGGGTGGTCCACAGTTGGCAAGTCTACGTGTGAACTGTTCCTCACCAGCGTCCACTTAAGGGCAGGTGCAAGTGACCCGAAACGTAGAATCTGGTATCCCGTGGGGCAAAATGATTTGAACAAGCATGAGTGCCTTATTTGTGATAGAACCAAAGTTCCATATCTTGATGAGATAACTTGTACGCCGCAAGGTATCCGGGTTGAAGTTAAGGTCCAAAAAATCAATGTCCTTGCGAAGCTGAAGGACAGGCTCTTTGCAACCCTGGCTGCTTCCAGATGGTACGAACCATCTCCGGCGCACCAGGTATATCACGCCCTTACGATTCCAATTGAGAAAGCAGCAAGCTGATGATCACCCAACAGAGGGTCAAACTGCCAAATCATTCCGGCCACAAACGGCTCTGGATCCCCGTCAAGAAGTTTATCGAGGAGGACCTGGGGGTGAACACCGAACGGGAGCAAGCGTACTGGGAGGACTGGGACGAGGCGGCGCTGCGCCGCATCATCCAACTTTATCTGAGAGAGTCCGCTCTTGAAAGTAGCAATCGCGTGCTGAAGCTTCTCTTGAAACCATTGGGCAGAGAACATACCGGGCACAAAAGGAATCCCCAAATAGTGGATATGCGGAACTTCCTGCACAGGTTGCTGATCCGTCCAATACAAAATAGCATTGGACCGAGGAATGCAAATCTTAGCAAATTTGACTCGGGTGAAGAAACCATGTTCGAAGTTCCACTTCGCAGTTTGTTCAAAGGCAACTTGAAGATACTTGAAGAGCCCTTCCATCATTGCTGTCGTGATACAATAATTAGTCACCAACATAGGTGTAAATGTTGATTTCAGTAGGCATTGCAGCCTGCCACTGTGCAAGCAGCACTGCAGCACCAGCCATAGAGACCGGATCACCCTGCGGAACACTGCGCGCATTGATAGGAATGGGATGCGCCATCCCGCCACGATCCAAGAATTCTGCCGCGAAGGAAGCGCAGCTGGCAGACAGCCAACCTCCTCTTGAAGGCTTTCTGGTCGCTGACTTCTTAGCGCCAAACGGCAGCAAAGGCATATCAAGTTACGCTTCCGAAGCAGGAATCGTTCTGGTTGAGGATCCTACCAGGTTGGTGACCATCCCTGCCATCCCCGAGGAAAGGAGTTTTTTTTCTATTGCACATCTGTTAGTACGGCTCCGCTACCTTGGTTACCACGGGGTCGTGTCCAAAGGGCATGGTGTGACATGATATGTACCAAGGGTTCATCCATACGAACATGGGAAATTTGGTTTAGGGCTCCTCCCCTGGTATTTGTGAGAAAATTGCGAGTCCAACCCCAAATGGATACACAAAATAGGATCGTGCAGTTCGGCCTATGCGGAATCCACCGAGAGGACAAAGACAGGACAACAAGGCCAAGTGCAATCACAGGCTGTAAACTTGAAAAGGCGACGTAAGGAAAAGGGTAGTGGGTGGGGTTTGCCTTGTCCCTAGGCTTTCTCCCCTTCGGGCTAACATTATATTTCTCTTAACTCAAGCACCCCAGAAAAAAGAAGAAGAAAAACATCAAAACGGACACCAGTAGTTTGGTTGGCTGTTTTTGGAAGGCTCACGCAGGACAATCCGCCCAAAAAGAGACAACCCACTCTGTAGGTCTGGCGATTATTCGCACGTCAGTCCTTGTCGTGCTTCGGAAACAGCTTCCGCGTCACCATCGCCTCAAGAGAAGGAATCCCTCGAGGGCGCAGAGACCAGATGGGGGGTGTGTGGGTGTCAAAATAGGGGGACCCCCAAAATGGCAGTGTCTCTCCCTGCCCACAAACAAACTCACACGCGCACACTCATTCTGGCACAAATGAAGAGGCAGCTTTTTGGATGCGCAGGCTGCGCACCTCTCAACAGAGGTTTCTGACACCAAAGAACAGAACATGGATGTCATTCTCCTAGGCCCCTTCTACAGGACAGGGAAACATTCATAGTGAGTCCCCCATTCTGGTCCCTGCCAAATTGGCCATAGACACATCAGGTAATGTTAGGTAATTTGGAGTCTCAGATGCCCAAAGGCTATGGCAAAAAAGGGGCATCCTTTCCTGGTGGGTTGAGTTTCAAGGGGAATACTTCCCAACAAAAGGAAAGAAGGACCGGACCAGACTGTGTCACACATATAGTGCAAATCAAAAAACACCAACCAAAAGAAAACAAAAAAAAATGGACTCCCAGGAACAGAACTTTCACTGAAGTCGCTCCGGGAAAAAAAAACGAGACCCATGGGTAAATAATCATAGTGCGACGTCTGGATGTCGATTTCAACCATCCGCAGGTATCACCCCTTCCATAGGTGGCCCTTCAGGAAAATAGATGGCGTTGGCAAACGGAATAAAACCAGTCTGAACCAGTGCCAGCTATTTCTAATCAAACTAGCCTAAGAAGCGCACCTATGGTTGCAAAACACCGTACGTCACAACTTGTAACCAGCTCGGGGTTCGTGTGTTGGACAAAGAACTTCCTGGTTGTCAGTACTTGGATGTCCAACCAACGACTTACCCCTTAAAAGTCCAAGCCCTGGGAAAGTTAATCTTTTACAGACATATAGCCCATGTTACCCCCAACAAGTTGAAAAGTTGTGTTTTTAAGAGGTAAGACGACAAATAAGTAGGCTACAGCCATTGCCATAACTTGAGTAACTGTTGTTGGTCCCCTAGCCATGAAAACCTACTTATAATTACCAAGTTGAACATCCAGGTTGGGAATGTCATTCGGGTTTTGAAAATTTTACCTGATGGATTAAAGGAACCACTGTGATGTTTCCGTGGGTTCTCTCATTCCTCATTCCCAGGCTAAACCTGTCAGCGACCTCCCAGCTTGAAGACCAGGTCATCGGGGCTCCATGTGTCAATCAGAGCGGCTTGGCCGTAGGATTCAAATCCTCTATATAAGAATGGCCTTAGGACCTTCCGTGCTCAATGGTTCTACTGTGGCTGAACGAAATCCTGCAGCACCTACCCTGGAACGATGATCCACCGCTGTAAATGCCAACCGACAATGGTTTTTCATGCTTTCAAAGTGGTGCAGGATTTCGTCCATCCACAGTATGAAACCCGGCTCATTGTTGTGGCTTGAACTCCAGGGTTGTCCGGTCGGCTTGTGACTTAATTGTGCGGCCCAACGAGTGACACTTCGGCTTACCTCGCATACCATTGGGGGTCTGAATCTTGATGGACAGCTTGGCATGAACGGGATGCCATCGACACTTGCGGGTTTGCCTCAAAATGATCAGACTCCCAAACACTGCAGGTTTACCTTTGCTCTCCGCGATGGGCATTTGTCAACACAAGCACAGAACAGTCCAAGTACTCGGCTTAGAGCTGGCGTCTCTTCCCCCGCTTTACAGGAAGGGGCTACCTTGAAAAGGACACCAATCAAAAAACAATCGCTGCCACCCAAACCCTGTGCACGGCATTGCAACATCTATTTGCCTCATGTCTGCTTCAGCCACCCCCCAAAACACAAAAACACATGATTGATCACCATGTTTAGTGTACCTCAAGAGCATTGATCCCATGTACCTTTGGTGCGAGAGGCCACGAATCTTGCGGGGCACACATCTCTGCCAAGAAGTGAGACGGCCAAATAAAAAATGATCCGTCGCCATGGTTCTGGGAAATCACCCGGAATCTGCGGAAGGCCATCCTCATGACCTATCAAACAAATAGATTCCCTTGGTATGACAGAACTGGCACTAGAACGGAACTGTCCACAACCGCAGACTTTCTATCCTCGGAAACTTCTGTTGCACTCCTACCGTGGTGTGGGCAAACCAAAAAATATGGGGATGGCTTCCGCCCTAAAACCCATATTGTCCACCAGAAAAGCACCGAACCCCCAAGCCATCGATCGAAAAGGAGAAAACCAACATATATATATATATATATATACATATATATATATATATAAATATATATATATATATATACAAAAGCCAACAAAACAACGGGGGGGCAACGCAGCATCTCGCTGGCGGAGTTGAGTGGCCACATGCTCGGGGTCCCAAAGGTCCTCCTCGCTGTAGCTCTCGATGGTAGACCTTGCACGGACTCGAGATGGCGACTTTGAGGGTCCCAGAGACATCTGGAAGCACATTGAGCGCTCGAAGTTGCTGACTTCCGGCCGTTTCGCTGCTGAGTTTGAGGGTGTTTCCCCAAAGCAGCAGTGCAAACCGACGGCTTGGCTGCGACGCAAATTGGTGCTGTGGATTGATGGGGATTCAATTCCCCGTTCCTTTCAAACGAGGATGAAAGGGAAAGGTGAAATGTGGAACCGCAAGAAACACAGTGAGGGTTCCTCTGATGGAAAACCAAAACAGAATCTTGTCCCCCGCCCCCCCCCCCCCCCCGAACGGCTATCAAATGGTGTCTCAAGTGACCCTAGTTGGGCTATTCCGGGTTCCGATTTGCCAGACCTTGGGCCCAATATGATGAGACTGTTCCGGAATGGCGTGAACTCCCCAAACCAGTCCACACCAAGGGGTCGGTGGATCAGCTGAGAATAGCTCCGCTCCCCCTGTCCCTCCAACGACTCCGCTTGGGCGGGCAGCCGGCCTCGTGCGGTTCCGCACAGGCTGGGAGGTCTCATTGTAGGTGTCATAGTATTCGGACACCTGCCTGAGCTTGGCCCCCGAAACCAGACGTTCCAGTGCCCTACGCCATCGCTCAACACAAAGGTCGCCTCATGTTGTTTACATCTTTTGAGGACACCCTTGGCCTGCTTTCAAACCAAAACGAGAACCGATATCCATTTTTGGGTCCTCAAAATTTTGACACATGTTCCCCCTATTCTGACCCCCCACATGGAACCTAAAAAAGCTTTCATGTTCCGAAAACAGAGGATGCCAACTCAACCTTGCAAATAAGGGGACAAGGAAACCAATTCCTCACCTCCTGAGTGAGTGGATTGGCTACTCAAGTCCAAGCCTTTGTTTGTTGGAAACATTGCATTCCCCAAACGCATCATAAAGTCCAGGAACTCAGAAAGTGAGATTCTCTAGACTTTTAGGTGATTCATATTGGTCAAAATCCGAATCGTACCCCCAGTGACCATCCCAATCCCCACTAAAATAGACTAAAATGGGTGGTGCACCCACCCCAAAATGGCACCATTGGTTTTGACCCACAGCCATATACCCTGGTCGGCTTGTTTTGCTTGTATGATTGACTACCTGCAATATTGCGTTGAAATCCACCGTAGTCCCACTCAATGTTGCAAGTAAACCGCCCATAGCAAACCACAAAACCAATCTTACTACACAACAAATGGAGAATCGATTTCCCCGTCTGTTACCACACAAACCGTGCCACACTAGGCACAAATTGGAGAATCGGTTTCCCAGTTTGATTACTTGCAAGGGACCCAAACAAACCGTTTCTGCTGAGGGTGTGGCTCAATATGAAAAGAGCTAGAGTTGCGCAGGTTTGAGTCTTTGCTTCCGTTGCCATGCTGGTACAT